AAGATGGGAGGTGGGAAAAACGGAGTAAAGGAAGGAGAGAGGGAATGGGGAATAAAAGGGAACGGGGGAGATGGAACAGAAGGAGAGAGAGTAAACAAGAAAGGAGGAAGGAAAAGGGACAAAGGAATAATTTAGTCTAGCTAGAAAAGGGCATATGTAGAGGAGATGAGAGAAAAGAAGAAAAAAAATGTCTATATTATATATGCAAGCATGTAAAAGTTGATATGGATATGTATGTGTACGTGTTTATGTATATGTATTTGTAAATGTATGTATATATGTACATGTTTATGTGTGTATATATATATATATATATATATATATATATATATATATATATTATATATATATATATATATATATGTGTGTGTGTGTGTGTGTGTGTGTGTTGTGTGTGTGTGTGTGTGTGTGTGTGTGTGTGTGTGTGTGTGTGTGTGTGTGTGTGTGTGTGTGTGTGTGTGTGGTGTGTGTGTGTATATGTATGTGTGTAATGTAGAGAGAGAAAGAGAGAGACTGAGAGAGGCAGTGGCAGGACACCACCACCAACAAGCATCAACGAAAAAGCAGCAGAAACCAAAATGCAACAAAAAAGAGAACGAAAACGACTGCAATAGAAGCTGATTTAGCGTGCTTGCAATTGCCGTTCCATTAACCCCCTCCCCCTCCCCCTCTACCAAACTTCCCCCCACCCCCCTCCCACCTCCTCTCTTGTTTTCTGCTCGTAAAGGACCCTCCAATGTGTGGAATTCATGAAGAACAGATTGCAAATTGTGAGTTTTCTTGTTCTTCCTTTCGTTGTTCCTGTTGCAGGACCCTTCCAAGAGCAGTTACAGGAACACAAATCCCATATTTACCGATAAAAACACGTATACATACTTCTTTAGACAAATACCTGTAACTATACCTCAATCTGCCTCATTAAGTATGCTGCTTTCCGTGTATAACCTCGCATATCCTAATGGCTATACACCGACATACATCCTACATACATCCTAACCACGAAAAAAAAAAATGTGTTGCAGAGACAGGGAAGGAGACGTTGCAGCTGACTTAAGGACATTGCAGGAAGACGCAAAGCTTTTATTTACAAGCTCATTATTTTTTTTTTTTTTTTTCACGAGGAGTTCGGCGCACCGCCATTAAGGGGAATCTTCTAGAAGGATAAATCTGTTTAATTTTAGAAAAACGTTTTATTAGATGGATAAGGAATATTTTTTTTCGTATAATTGGATAAATGTGTCTCATTTTAGAATGTTTTATTAGATGGATAAGGATTTTTTTTTTTTTTTTTTTTTGTATAATTGGATAAATGTGTCTCATTTTAGAATGTTTTATTAGATGTATGTGGGATATTTTTTTTTGTATGATTGGATAAATATGTCTCATTTTAGAATAAAGTTTCATTAGATGTATGTGGAATATTTTTTTCTCGTATGATTTGATAAATATAATGTTAAAAATCGTTTCATTAGATTGATAAGGAATATATTTTTTTCGTATGATTGATAGAAGCTGTGTGATATAATCAACATAAAAAAAATGTATAGCATGAAGATATGTATTGTGTGATATAACTCCACGTATAAAGTATATCATATTTATACATATATCGCAGGAAATGATAAGAAAATGAAGGAAAATGAAATGTAATTGTTCTTCCAAGATACGGTTATTATCTTCAGATGCAATTACTTCCTTATATAATTTTCTCAAGATACGTAATTTTGTTTCTCGTGAGAGTCAGAGAAAGAAATATGAAAGACAAGGCACAAAGGATCATTTTTTTTTTTTTTTTTTTAACGAGAAAAAAACTTAATTGTTCTTTCTTGAGATAACAAAGATTTTTTTTCTCTTCCTTTCTTTCTTTCTTTCTCTATTCATAATGACAAAGATAACTTGCGTTTTATTGTGCAATAATGGAATATTTATGTACATCGCGTTTAGTTATATGATGTCTGATATATTCTGTTATTTTCATTCATATTTTCATTTATTTATTCTATATTCAGTGTCAGTGAGTCCCTCTCTTATGATCATTATTATGATTCCCATAATCGCTACCATAATTATCAGGATATAATCGCTAATTATCACCATGATTCCCATAATCGCTAATTATCACCATGATTCCCATAATCGCTAATTATCACCATGATTCATAATCGCTAATTATCTACCATGATTCCCATAATCGCTAAATATCACCATGATCGCCATAATCACATCAACATAATTATTCACGGCATGATTACCCATAATCGTACATAATGTATCACCAATGATCCCTATAACACATTCACACTTATCACCATGATTCCCATAATCGCTAATCATCCACCATTTGTCCGCATTACCGTCTCTCACCCCATACTAACTCACGCCCCATTCTCGCCGCTCCCCCACCACCCCCCGCCCAATCCCCTAGGTCACGGTGGCATCGCCGCCCTCTCGGATTCCGGAAGCGCGACGGCCACATTCCTTATCGGATTCCAACCTGACCAAGCTGCTCGCTGATAGCCTCGCCGGGAGTGGGTCACGCTCATGGTGGTGAGGAGGGTGAGTGGGTGAGGGGGTGGGTCCGTGGGTGGGTTGGAAGTGTGGAGTGGTCATGGTGAGGGTGGGTTTGGGGGGGGGTGGGTGTGGTGGGTGTGGTGTGCAGGAGCTGGGTGGGTGGGGGTGGGTTGTGGCAGCCTGGGAATTGGGTGGGTTGAGCCGGGGAGTGACGGGTGGAGGGTTTGCTGAGTAGGTGGGTGAGGTGGGAGGGGGTGGGGGTTGTGTGAGGGGTTGGGTGTGAGGCGGAGGGGGTGTGGGGGGGGTGATGGCTGGAGGGTTTGACGGGTGGGGAGGTGTTGGTGGATGGGTGGGGGAGGGGGATGGTGTGTGGGTGGGTGATAGGGTGAGGGGTGGGTGGGAGGGTGTGGGTTTGGGAGGGGGGAGTGAAGTGCTGAGGGTTGGGTGGTGTGGGTGTGGGTGGGGTAGGGTGGGGGTGAAGGGTGGGTGTAGATGGTGGATGAAGGGTGAAAGGTGGGTGATGGGGTGAAGGGTGGGTGTGTGGTGATGGGTTAAGGGGGATGGGTGGGTGATGGGTGAAAGGGTAGATGGGTGGTGGTGAAGGGTGGGTGTGGGTGAGTGGATGGGTGAATGTGGATTTAGGTGACGGATGGGTGAATTGGCGGATGGGTGGTTTAGGTGGGGTAGGGTAGGGTGAGGGTGGATGGGTGTGGGTGAATGGGTGAATGGGCAGATAGGACAAGTAGATAGATAGGGAGGTGAAGGGTGGGTTTTCGGTGAATAGATGAGTAGGTGGGTGGATAGGCAGATAAATAAACAGGTGGGTGGATGAATGAATGGATGGGTAGACAGGTAGGTAGTTAAGTAGGTAAGTATATCTATAAATAAGCTGACAGACAGATAGATATGCAGAAAGGTAGATTCACAGATGGAAAATAGTTTTGCATGGCCATAATTTTTCTAATTCCAGGATATAACAAAAATATAAGTTTGACAGATAGCTTAGTTGTGTGAAATCTATTTTTCAGAACACCACAGAATGTTAAATGTAAATATAGATGGGTAGATTGTGAATACAAGCACAAATACTGCAACGTGTTCACAAGATTAAGAGAATGCTTAGCTGTAGTTCATATTATGGCTGTATTTTCCTTTAATAAGTATCAGATGTATATAAATTTCTAACAATAATTAGTCTTTAATTTATTTTAATTTTATGTATTAGCTATAGTTTCATATTAAGGTTGTATTTCCTCTAATATGTATCAAATGTATATAGAATTCTAACAGTAATTACTTTTATTATTTATTTTTACTTCTATGTAAATACTTTGACTTCTACTTTTATGTAAATACTTTTTATTTTTACGATGTAGATACTTTTAATCTACTTTTATGTAAATACTTTTATTTCTACTTCTACGTAAATACTTTTCCTACTTTCTTATTTTTACGTTCATAGATACTTTTACATCTACTTTTATGTAAATACTTTTACTTTCTTTTACTTTCTACGTAAATACTTTTCCTACTTTTATGTAAATACTTTTATTTTTACGTTCATGTAGATACTTTTACTTCTACTTTTATGTAAATACTTTTTTCTACTTTTATGTAAACTATTTATTTTTACTTTTACGCAAATACTTTTTTCTACTTTATGTAAATACTTTTATTATTTTTTCTACGTAAATACTTTTTACTATTATGTAAATACTTCTCTACTTTTATGTTAAATACTTTTATTTTACGTTCATGTAAATACTTTTATTTCTACTTCTACTTTTATGTAAATACTTTTATTTCTACTTCTACGTAAATACTTTTCCTACTTTTATGTAAATACTTTTATTTTTACGTTCATGTAGATACTTTTACTTCTACTTCTACGTAAATACTTTTCCTACTTTATATAAATACTTTTTAATTTTACTCTTATGTAAATAAAAAAAAGGAAAATACTCACTTCCCATTTCTCCCTCCAGATCGCCTGCGCGTCGCCTGTGAGAAGCAATGTCAGTGAAACGATAAACACTTTCCGTTATGCTTCTCGAGCCAAGAGAATTCGAACCAAGCCGCTCATTATTATGGTAGGTGTTTGTTTGTTTGTTTTTAGTGTGGGTCTGGGTCTGGGTTTTTTATTTTTTATTTGTTTTGGGTATCTTTTTTTCGTTCTCTGTCCCTGGTTGTTTTTTCTGGATGGCTGTCTCTCTCTTGTTTATTGTTCTCTCTGTAATCTATCGCTCTCTCTCTTTCTTTCTCTTTCTCTCTTTCTCTCTTCTCTCTTTCTCTCTCTCTCTCTCTCTCTCTCTCTCTCTCTCTCTCTCTCTCTCTCTCTCTCTCTCTCCTCTCTCTCTCTCTCTCTCTCTCTCTCCTCTCTCTCTCTCTCTCTCTCTCTCTCTTCCTCTCTCTCTCTCTCTCTCTCTCTCTCTCTCTCTCTCTCTCTCTCTCTCTCTCTCTCTTCTCTCTCTCTCTCTCTCTCTCTTCTCTCTCTCTCTCTCTCTCTCCCTCTCTCCCTCTCCCTCTCCCTCTCCCTCTCCCTCTCCCTCTCCCTCTCCCTCTCCTCTCCCTCTCCCTCACCTCTCCCTCCCTCTCCCCCTCTCCCTCCCTCCCTCTCCCCTCCTTCCCTCCCTTCCTCTCTCCCTCCCTTCCCTCCTCCCTCCCCCCTCCCTCCTCCCTCCCTCTCCCTCCCTCCCTCTCTCCTCCCTCCTCTCTCCCCCTCCCTCCCTCCCTCTCTTCCCCCTCTCCTTCCCTCCCCCTTTCTCTTTTTCCTCTTTCTCTCTCTCTTTCCGCCCACCCCTCCTTCCAACCCGCCCACCCCTCTCTAAAACGCCCCCTCCTCCGCCCACGCCCGCAGGACCCGAAGGAGAAGGTGATCCTGAGCCTCCAGCGGGAAGTGAGTCTGCTGAGGGAGGAGAACGCCCACCTCAAGATGCTCCTCGACCTCGCCGACGTCCAAGAAGGGAACCAAGGTGCGTGGCGGTCTTTTTGGGGGTCAATTTTTTTTTTCTTTTCTTTTTTTTTTTTTTTTTTTTTTTGGTTGCGTGTCGTTCTTTTTTGGTCAGTTTTGTTTGTTTGTTTTCATTCTTTTTTTAATTATTATTTTTTGCTTGCGAGACGATCTATTTTGGGGGTCTTTTTTTTTCTTTTTTTTTTTTTTTTTTTGGTTGCGAGTCGTTCTTTTTTGGTCAGTTTGTTTTTGTTGTTTTTCTTGTTTATTTTCATTTTTTATTAATTATTATTTTTTTGCTTGCGAGGCGTTCTTTTTTTGGGTCAATTCTGTTTTGTTTTGTTTTTTTGTATATTTTTATTTGGTTTGGTTGTTATTTTTCTATTTTATTTATTTGTTATATTTTTATTCTATTTTTGTATTATTGTTTTCTTATATAAATTTTGGTTAGATTCATCATTTAGGTGAATTCGGGTTTTGGATTCTTTTTTTTTTTTGTTTATATAAATTCCAGTTTTGGATTTTTTTATTTTGTTTAAATAAATTCTGGTTTGGATGAAATAAATTGGATTAGATAAATTCCGACTTTGTATTTTTCACATAAATTCCGTTCAGATATTTTTTTAGATATATTCATTCAATTATTTTGTCAAAAAAAAATGTCTTGAGTAATTTATATAAAGATAAATGCTATATTGGTTTCATTCCTTTTAAACGAATTCTGTCTCGGATCAATTCTTTTAGATCAATTTTGTCTTGGATTATTTTCTTGATTGATTCTGTCATAAATTCCTTCCTTTTGGGATTTGGGTCAATGCCATAGGATTAATTATTTTGGGGATTAATTCTTTTAGATGGATTCTGGCTCGAATAGAATGTCTTGAGAAATAACCTCATTCGAAAATAATACATTTTTTTTATTCAAATGAGAATCAATTGCTTTTGTTGTGAACTTTATATATACACTTATGAACTTCTCAAAACTTATGATGAAATAGATAATACATATCTAGATAGCTTCAGTTATATTAATTATCTATCGACTTATAGTTCCAGATATATTAATTATCAAATATTATTAATTATCAAATATTATTAATTATCAAATATATTAATTATCTACCAACGTATAGTTTCAAATATATTGATTATCTATCGCCGTATAGCTTCAAATATATTGATTTAGATTGACGTATAGACGATAGCTTCAAATATATTGATTATCTATCGACTTATAGTTTCAAATATATTGATTTATATTGACGTATAGCTCCAAATATATTGATTATCAAATATATTAATTCTCTGCCAACGTATAGCTTCAAATATATTTGATTATCTATTGACGTATACCTTCAAATATATTAATTATCTACCGACGTATAGCTCCAAATATATTAATTATCTGCCAATGTATAGCTTCAAATATATTGATTATCTATCGACTTATAGTTTCAAATATATTGATTTATATTGACGTATAGCTCCAAATATATTGATTATCAAATATATTAATTATCTGCCAACGTATAGCTTCAAATATATTAATTATTCTTCGGCGTATAGTTCCACATATACTAATTATCTGTTGAGGTATAGTATCAAATAAAGTCATTGTTAAATATATTAATTATCAGTCAACGTATAGCTTCAAATATATTGATTATCTATTGACGTATACCTCCAAATATATTAATTATCTACCGACGTATAGCTCCAAATATATTGATTATCAAATATATTAATTATCTGCCAACGTATAGCTTCAAATATATTGATTATCTATCGACTTATAGTTTCAAATATATTGATTTAGATTGACGTATAGACGTATTATCAAATATATTTAATTATCTGCCAACGTATAGCTTCAAATATATTGATTATCTATCGACTTATAGTTTCAAATATATTGATTTAGATTGACGTATAGACGTATTATCAAATATATTGATTATCTGTCAACGTATAGCTTCAAATATATTGATTATTCTTCGACGTCCCACAGGAGAGGGCCTTCCGAAGTTAGACCGAGCCAAGATTACCAATGGCCTCGACACAGCAGCCATGGTGGAGGAAGACGGTGCAAGAATGGGTAAGGTTTTGTCCCATTTTTTCTGGTCTTTTCTTTGGATTTTTTTAGGTGGGGGGGGGTCGGGTGGAGGGGGAGGGAGGGAGGGGGAGGTGTAACAGGCGTCGAGACATGTTTACAATATTGAGAAGTAGATGGTTGTTGACGTAAGGAATGTTTAGACATATGTTTTGGTGTATCAACGTCAACATGTCCTCAAATATTTTTTTTATTTTCTTTCTTTCATAAGAAGCATATACGTTCCCACACATAAGATAATAGATTGCATTAAAGCATTTATAATATTCCCACTTAAGTTATTACCAAAGACCCACAATAATCCAACAGTGAATCCACAAACACCATCTTTTAGCAATACCCACACAATACCCACAATATTCCCACAGTGCATCCACAAACACCATCTTTTAGCAATACCACAATACAGTGCATCCACAAACACCATATTACCCACAATACCCACAGTGCATCCACAAACACCATCTTTTAGCAATACCACAATATTCCCACAGTCCAAAACACCATCTTTTAGCAATACCACAATATTTCCGTATTCCCACAGTGCATCCACAAACACCATATTTTAGCAATATCCACACAATACCCACAATATTCCCACAGTGCATCCACAAACACCATCTTTTAGCAATAACACACACAATATTCCCACAGCAAATCCACAAACACATCTTTTAGCAATACCCACAATTATCCCACACCAGCAATACCCACAATATTCCCACAGTGCATCCACAAACACCATCTTTTAGCAGCAATATTCCCACAGTGCATCCACAAACACCATCTTTTAGCAATACCCACACAATACCGACAATATTCCCACAGTGCATCCACAAACACCATCTTTTAGCAATACCCACACAATTATTCCCACAGTAATCCACAAACACCATAACAATACCCACAATATTCCACAGCATCCACAAACACCATCTTTTAGCAATACCCACACAATACCCACAATATTCCACAGTGCATCCACAAACACCATCTTTTAGCAATATACCCACCTATCCACAAACACCATCTTTAATACCCACACAATACCCACAATATTCCCACAGTGCATCCACAAACACCATCTTTTAGCAATACCCACACAATACCCACTATATTCCCACAGTAAATCCACAAACACCATCCTCTAGTATTGTGGACCTGAAGTTTCCTATAATACCCACACAGCAACATACACATATCCCACTTTCAAGCATATTTGAAATCAGCCACTATACCCACACTCTACATCCATACAATCCTTTCAAAAACTTTTCCCAATACACATTCACTGTATCCATAGACACCACCCTCAACGTTGAAATCAACCACAATACCCACATTTATCCACATACCCCACCCTCATAGTTGAAATCACACAATACCCACACACTACATCTACACACGCACCATCCTAATACTTCCCAAAATACCCACACACACTATATCCATATAACCCGCTCTCAAGCATATTAGAAATCACTCACAATACCCACACGCACCATCCTAAAACTTTCCACAATACCCACACACAACGCCCACATACCCCACCCTCACAGTTGAAATCACCCACAATACCCACACATACCCACATACCCCACCCACAATACCCACCCATATCTACATACACCACCCCGCAATACCCACATACCCCACCCCCACTGTATCCAACACACTACACCCCCCCCCCTCCCCCTCAATACCTCTCCACAACCCACACTGATCCACCCCCCTTATCACCCCCCCACCTAATTCTCTCCCCCCCCTCCCCCACAGAACCCCCACCAATGCCCTCTCGCCAAGGGTCGTTCAGAGTGGACAAGGACAAACTCACGACGCTGAACAACCAAGAACTCATCAACCTCGTTCAGCACTACATGGCTGAACACGAGACAGTCAGGAAGGAGAACAAGGAACTGGAAGTAAGAAATGGTGGTGCATTTTTTTTTTTTTTTTTTATTTTTTTTTTTTTTTTTGGTGGTGGTGGTGGTGTTCAAAATTGTTTATTGATATGGTTGATATTAGCTATGTTATTTGTAAAAGTTGCTGCAGTATCATTACTGTTGTTCTTATGATTATTGTTATTATTATTTTTATCATCATCATTATCATTATTATTTATTATTATTATTATTATTTATCATTATTATCATTATTATTTATTATCATTATTATCATTATTATTATTATTATCATTATCATTATTATATTATTATTATTATTATTACGAGTATTACCATCATCAGCAGGAGCAGATCATCATCATCATCAATGTTTTTATGATCATTATCATGACCATTGTCATTGTCAGTGCTATTATTATTACTACGAGCAGTAATAATAGTAGCAGTAGTAGTAGTCTTAGTAGTAGCATTTTCGACATCATTATTATAACTATCAGTAACATTATCAACATTGTTATCATTGTAATTATCACCATTATTACGACCGCCATCATCATAATTGGCGTTAACAATACCCACACAATACCCACAATATTCCCACAGTAAATACACAAATACCATCCTCTAGTCTGTATTATATCTAATTATATATCTAATTATATATCTAATTATAATTATATATCTAATCTGTATTGTATCTCTAGATATCTATTATGTCTTCGCAAAATTTCACAGCGTTTGGATAAATCACAAGCTGCAACAAAATGGTGTCTAATATATATTTTTTTTCTGTTGCAAGGATGCAATGGCAACTCTAGTGCGTGACCAGGATCTCGTGTGCAAAGAAAATGAACGACTTTTGAAGAAATTGCAAGAACTATCGAGGTAATTTCTTGCAATTTACATCTTTTCTTGTGTTTTGTTTTGATTCCTCTTATTAGCTTTATTATTTTGTGTTGTATTATTATTGTTGTTGAATGTCTTCCTTCTCTCATTTGTTTATTTTTCTTAATGTTCTCTTTTTGTATTTTGATTCTTGTTCTCCACAATTTATCATCATCATCACCATCATCGTCATCATTATCATTATTATTATCTTTATTGTTATTTTCATTGTTTACCCTCTTCATTATCCAACTCACTAATCATTTCTCCTTTTATCTTTTTTTTTTTGTCTTTTCCTCGTTTCTTGTCGTTATTTCTTTTCCCGTTCTTTATTCTCCTTATAATTTCTACCATCATCATTATTCCTTACTATCTTCATTTATCCTTTTTATTCCATTAGATCTAACAACTTACTGACTTTTTGTTTTTCTCCATTTTACATTTCTTTAATTATTTTCGTCTAATGACACTCTCTCTCCTTTCAAATTGCTTTTAAATTATCTAAGCATGTTTTAAAGACAAACATTCGTCTATATCTTTAAATAAATATAATCACAGCTGTAATAAAAATGCTGATAGTATTTGTAGGTTGCTTTGCATGAGGAAAGTAAATCTGCTTGGTTTAGATCTAAATCATTATGAAGATGATTTTGGCATGAAATAACTTTTTGTAGTATTTTTGTAGTATTTAGTGGTATATAATAGGAAAAATAGCGGTTGATATATTTTTTGACCTATATTTAACGGTATTTTGTATGATTTTATTTTCTTTTTTGTAGTATTTAGTGGTATAAAATGGGAAAAAATAGCGGTTAATATTTTTTTCTTTTTTGTCAAATATTTAGCGGTATAAAATAGGGAAAAATGAAAGAGAAAAGGGATAATATTTAGTTCATATTTTTAAAAATCCTTTGTGTCCAGTATTTAGCAGTATACAAAAGAGAAAAAATGAAAAAGGAAAGGAGTTATTTTTTTTTTTTTCTTTCTTTTTATGTCCAATATTTAGCGGTATAGAATAAGGAAAAAATAGAAAAAAAGAAAAGGGTTAGTATTTAGTTAACATTTTTTCCCCTTTTGTGTACATTTAGCGGTATGAAACGGGAAAAAATAGAATAGTTAATAATTTTTCCCTGTCCTGTGTTTAGCTGATATGAAATAGAAAAAAAAGTTAATATTTTTTTTTGTTCTGTGTTTAGCGGTTTGAAATAGGGGAAAATGATATAGAAAAGGATTAGTATTCAATTAATATTTTCCCATTTTGTCTAGTATTTAGCAGTACAAAATATATATACAGAGAAAACGGTGATGATAGAAGTTGAAAACAATGATACAATTAAAGTTTATAAACAAATCACTTTTTTTTCTTCTTCTAAGTATTGCTTGCATTTGTCTTTCAACTTCTCAAGCATGCCCATTTTCTTGTAGGTTTTATGATTATAGTATCTTCGTGAATCAATAGATATCCTTGCAATCTCTACAATTGCATTTTATAACTGCCATTTCCCTTTGTAACAGTAGACCTTGCAACAGCTAAAATGCATCTTATAAATGCTATTTTTCTCTTCTCTCTCTAAAAGTAGATTTTGCAACTTCTGTTGCATCTCATTTCTCTCTAAAAGTAGGTTGTGCAACTTGCATCTCATGATTTCTCTCTAAAAGTAGCTTTTGCAACTTCTGTAAATTGCATCTCATGATTTCTCTCTAAAAGTAGATTGTGCAACTTCTCTAAATTGCATCTCATAATTGCAAGTATTCCTCTTCTCTCTAAAAGTAGCTCTCCTTGCCACTTCTGCCAATGGCATAACTCACTCGAGAGCTGAGCCACGAAACACTTAATTCTGCAATGCACGTTTCATTTCAGTGGCACGAGTACTGAATCGAATGAGGAGAAAGAGTGAGTATTCTTTTGTCAAGAATTGTTGAGGATTTATTTTTTGTTTGATTTCTTTGGATTGATGAGTGTGGTGTTATATTGTATTGTATTTTATTGTATTATATTATGTCATGTTAGGGGAGTTGGGTGTGTGTGTGTGTGTGTGTGTGTGTGTGTGTGTGTGTGTGTGTGTGTGTGTGTGTGTGTGTGTGGTGTGTGTGTGTGTGTGTGTGTGTGCTTGTTTGTATGCGTTCATATACATGCATATGTGTAGGTAAGTACAATCCATGTGCATTAATAACCAAACACACATACCACACAACCACCCGCTCACCACAACCCCAAAAATAACCGACCAATCGAACCCAAACCCCAGACACACGGCCCACCACGATTCCACACCTTCACCACCTCATATATATATATATATATAAAATCTAACAATATATCTAACTCCATCTCCTTTCCTTCTCCTCCCCCCCTGCCCCCGCCCCTCCCCCCTTCAACAGCATGACCCCCCGCCCCCCCACGCAGCGTGTCACAACAGCCGGGGAGGTTCTGGACTCTGCAGGAAGGGCCACCTCACTTCCTTCGTCGCCGTCCTCGCAGGTGTGGGTCAACCCGCTCAATGACACCAGCCGAAGGAGGGTATGTGGCGGTTTATTTTCTCGGTTTATTTTTTTTTGTCTTTGTTTTGTTGGTTTTGTTTTGAGTTTTTTTGGGGAGGGAGTTGTATTTTTTTTTTCATTTTGTGCGTGTTTTTTTTGTGGGGAGGGGGGGGGATTTTTGTATTTTTTCCCATGTTTTGTTCGTTTGATTTGGTATATTTTCATTTCTTTTGTTGTTATTTATCAATCATTCGTATTTGTGTGTGTGTGTGTGCGGATGTTATTTGTATTTTGTTCATATGTTCATGTATTTGTTTATGATTGTCATATTTTGTGAGGATGAGTAAATGTATGTTAGATGTTCTGTTAATTCTATCGTAATGTTTCTGTTACGAAATTTCGTACACACTGCAACTGATAAAAGATTGACAAACAAGGAAAAAATCCATCCACATTATAGGAAACAAAACGATCGATTAAAAAAAAAAAAAATGTTATACGAGAAAAAAAACACGAAAATAGAATACCAGTAAAAAAAAATCACAAGCCTAAATTAATTCCACATTACGAGAGACAAAACAAAACAAAAAAAAAACATCGAAATTAACAAAAACAATAACCCAAATCCCCTCCCACATTACGAAAACGACAATAAAACACTAATAACGATCAATAACAAAATCAATAATACCCTACAACATAAAAAAAAAGATAAGACACCACTGCCCCAAACCCTACCCCTACCCCTACCCTTACCCCTACCCCTACCCCTACCCCTACCCTACCCTACCCCTACCCCTACCCCTACCCCTACCCCTACCCCTACCCTACCCCGACCCAACCCCCAAAAAAGCAACACGTACCGAACACGTTTCAGGAGTCGCCGGCACCAGTCGGTCCACCCCGGGCACGAGCAGGTCGACCCCGGGCAGCAGAGGGCGCAGCGTCCCCGACTCGAAGGGCTCGCCGAGGAAGGGCAACCGCCTCCCGGACTCCATCAACAAGGAGCTCGAGAGGAGAAGGATTGGGAAGAGGTAGGGACGCCATTTTTGTTTGGGGGGGGGGGGCTCTTGGGAGGAATTTCTGGTGGTTATTAGGTTTTCCATTATCTGTTCTTTAGTTATGGTAATACATAGGTATATGCACACACGCACACGCACACGCACACGCACACGCACACGCACACGCACACGCACACGCACACGCACACGCACACGCACACACACACACACACACACACACACACACACACACACACACACACACACACACACACACAACACACACACACACACACACACACACACACACACACACATTTTTTAATTCCGTATACACACTATATGATATATGATGATATCCATATATATGTACATATATGTATTTATTTCTTCTCACATCTGTTAATTTCTACATACAGCCCAAGCCAGCATAACCCCTAACCCCTTTTCCACAACCAGCATGAACGACCTCAGTGCCCCTGGCGGGAGCAGCGGAGGGCGGAGCACAGGAGGCCGGAGGAACAGCTGGGACGGAGAAGACACCTCAGGACTGCCAGCTGTGAGGCGGCCACCGGTCAAGAGCAAGAGCATGTCCCCGGGGCTCAACTCGACGAAGAGGTAGGGTATCTGAGGGGGAGGGTGTCTCTGAGGGAAAGGGAAGGGAAAGGGAAGGGGTAAGGGGAAAGGGGGCGAGGGAGGTGGTGGGACTAATTTTTCACCCTTTCCTGTTGTAAACATGTTTAGAACCTTCTTAATTTTCTTTCTCTCTTTGTCTCTTCATTTCTTTGTCCTTTTTATTTTTTTTTTTTTTTTTTAGATGGCGTGAGTGATTAGCTTTCTGCCGGGGTGGGTAGAATATATGTATTTTGTTTAGTCGGAGTTATAAAGGAGTAAGAGGTGTTATTTTTTTTATTTCTCTTTTTTCCCTCTCTCTTACTTTTTTTTTTGCAGGTCCAGGATCCCAGTTCTAAATTATCGTGAACTCTCGTGGCCATGAAAGTGTCTAATAAGAGCAAATAGTGTATAAAACAAACTCAGAAAGAGAAATATGTATACACAGACTACAGTGGTCTTCCCAGTCATACATCATAAACACTGATCCTACAATTTTGTTTTCGGAAAAAAAATATAGCACTTGTAGGCAGATTTTCCTCACCAAAATTCTGTTATCAGTAGTTAGAAACTTCAAGATTCTCCTTTTTCCAAAAAGAACAACAGAAACACGAATATCAAATCGAGTGTCAGAATAGAAACGATATATTGTGCATCCTATTATGTAGAGAATTCCTAGAGAGAGAGAGAACGATAATGTAGACAAGGGGTTTCTACGCTAGTTTGACATCCCTTCAGTAAAGGCGACCTCGTCAGAATGTTGTGGCAACACATGACAACCAGAATACTTAAGATTATAGACAGTCAGAAAAAAAGAGCAGGAAGGTATTTAGCTTTGTGGCAGAGGACTATCACCTTGCATCATTTTGGGTGAGGCATAGATTTAAAGCATTATGCATCGCACTAGGGACGCCTTTTAGGAATGACTATTAGCACATCAGCATTGAGCTCACTCTCATATTATCACGGTCTTCCCTCTGTCTCTTCCTTCCCTCTTGTTTATCTTGTCTTTACCTCTTGTCACTGTCACTTTTACTACTACTGCTATTACTATTGTTACTACTATTACTACTACTACTATTTTTACTCCTTTTACTCTTACTCCTACTATTACTACTACTACTACTATACTATACTATACTATTTTATTACTATACTATTACTATACTGCTACAGATAATAATTATGATAATATCCATTTCTTCATCTCTACCTCATCATCTTCCATATATCTCCTCTCCCTTCTTTTCTTCTTTTTTTTCATTTCCCTCCTGCATTGGGTGAAAAGCACAGTCATTACTTCAAAGAATATATTCCATTACACAACTAAATTTCCATCCCCCCCTCAAGGAAAAAATAACCACTTAGTGCTTCTTTCCCTGCCTAAAAGCCCTCTACTGTAAACTGTTTAAGCGTAGCAAGAGACTCATGCCGCACCCACTGTATTTATATCTCTCCTTTTCCCTCCTTATACATACTGGCCTTCGTAGCAATGTAGGAGGCAAAGCATGTGTAGATTGTCCCCTCTTTTCGTAGTATACATGTCTTCTTTTTTGTAAATCACTTTGAAATCAAAAAATTGCATTTTGTTTGGCTCTTCTCTTCCCTCGATTATCAGAATTTTGAAAACGAGGGATTCCTTTGGATAAAGTGAAATATGGTGATTGGATAATGTCATTGATGAAATTTTTTATTTTATTTCCCTCAGATTTTTTGGTATTTTGAGTATTTTCTCCAGGAGATATATATTTTTTAAAACCAAGAGGGCAATACAATATTTTTCACTGAACATTTTTATGTATAACAACTTTTTAAAGGTGTATTATTATGTAACTTAGAAAATATATGATTTATTGGTTTTGTAAGTAAATGAAGTGAAAAGAATGATTTGAAATGTCCCATTATATTATAGGATTAAAATTGCCTCGCTTTGGATCAGCAAAGACGTGAGGACATGTCTGGCCAAATGAGGTTTCAGATCAATTCTGTTTATGAAATCTTGTTAACTTGTGCTTTCATCTTTAACTTAAACATCGATATCTTCACTTCAATGCAATACAGACATAAGAAAGAGTGTATTAATGTGACTATATTGATGCAGATGTTATAGCTGAAGGATTAAATTGACAAAACATTTAATAACATACTGTCAAGAAGTTGGTCTGAAACTTCTTTTGACTGCCTATGCCTTCTGTAGCATTGTAGAATATAAAGCAAATTAACAAGCTACAATTCAGTAGAGTCAAGCCATGTATTTTTTTTATGATTATCTTGCATAAACTTGAGCAGTAAGAAAGCACAACAAGGATGATAATAAACATGAATTATCCAAAATTGGGATGGTTGGTTCGGTACGTTTACTGAGAAACAGGAGGAATAAGAGAGGGAACAGATAAGTGACACAGTAAAGAAAATTTTGTTCATATATGCAGTGCCCAGGTTTTGTACAGCAGACGTAAATAAACCTTTCTAAAAGTCAGATAAACAGCTAAAATAATGAAAAATAAAAAGGATATTGACTTCAACATAAGAAACACTTAATCGCGCAATTAGCAAAATAAAACAACTTTTATCATTATAGAAAAATTATTTTTGTGTTTACTCTGCTACTGAGACCTAGTTTATAGAAATTAATGCAATTTCAAGAATGATATTTTTTCAACTATAGAAATAACTACATTGATCATATTCTTTGCACGAATGTACTATTATAACAAGCCTTTGAAGAATCAGTGCATTAAAGTTAATTCATAGTAATGTTTTCATATTTTAAATCAAGATGACATGGAAACAAAGTGAAAATTATATAAATATGCAAGTGAAAATAAGTTGGAAAAATTGTAGATATTATATTTCACGTTATTTGAGTCATAATTTGACATTCAAACATATTATACATTGTCCAATATTACCTTGCCATCATTCATCTCCGTCATATTTTAAATTCACCAAAAAAGCAGGGTTTCGACACATTAACTTGTCTGTTCCCAAGACCTGTACATATATTATTTTATACCAGTATAGTTTTGTGTGTGTGTGTGTGTGTGTGTTTGTGTGTAAACTGGAATTGCTATTATTAAAAGCAGATGTGTAAGCAGCTGATCATACATCTGCTTTTCATTATAACAATGCCAGTTCATAAAAGAAAACGTGAGGAAAAATTAAATAACTAAACTGCACTGGTATAAAGTGATATATGTATATTATTACACTGCTTCTAGTCGACCTACTGGGGCGACTATACCTAATTGTTTTAGATATTAATTACTGAGGTATTGGATATAAAATTGCGATTAGCAACATTTATGGAAACATGAACATAAGACGTTATTTGATTATTTGTAAAGCAGTTAATTTGCTTTCCATGATTCCTGACATTGCATATTACATTACAGTTATCTTATGAATTCCTTGTCATTTTCTTTTAATTATTAGGACACTATACTATTTCTTAATGGCTAAGATTAGGAATTACATGTTGATCAGACTCCCATGGTGATAAATGTATGTAGGTTGAAAGAATATAGAATTTTATCTTCACTACTGAGAAAAAAAATGTTGCATAGAGTTCCTTCTCTGGTTTAGTTTTGAGTCAGTAAATAGAATCCAGGAACATCTACAACATACAAAGTTATTTTAGTGCTAAGAAGACTAATACAGTATGTCAGTGATCTTTATGATTTACCTTAATTTACTAGTTTTTCTTACTATTGATCTGTAGCAAGTGTGCATAAGTAAAGTAAATTGTAGTTGTGATATGTAATTTTCATTAGAGATGTAGACTGGAGTGATGAAAGGACTGTAGTAGATTCCATAAGCATGTTGTTATTGAGTAGTTTGTTATCATAATGCTCATCATAATCTCTATCTGCATATTTGACGTAGAATTTTGACCTCCAGCAACTGCTAACTCTCCTTGTGCATGCCATGTAAAGCGTGACAAATCATGGCTAAGCTTTTTATTCATTGAATTTTTCAAAACAAATCTGTCTCCAAAAGAAATAAAGAAGTCAGTGCAAGAGACTTGACTGAATTACTTCTTTAAAGCCCTTCTGCTCCCTTTATTAAAGAATCCTTTAAGCTCTTCTCCCTCATAGTAAACGCTGCTTCGAGTCCTTCCCCTTTTAGTGAACATTCTTAAAGCTCGTAGCCCCTTTAAGTAAACATTGCTGCTAATAGCCATGAAGTAGCTTCTTTCCGAGGAGACGGAGTAAGTTGCTGAGCGGGTGTGCTGACTGTTGCATGTTGCAGTGGAACCCGAGTAAAGGGCCGCTCACAGTCGGTGCCGCGCCAGAAGGGCCGAGGAAAGGGCAGTCCAGGAGGACCTCCTAAAACAAGTGACCGCAGGCCCACAGGTATGCGGTCATCCTAGATAGATGACTTGCTGTGCTTCAGACTGTTGCTGCAGCTGCTGCATCTGCTGGCCTGTAGGTAGCTTGCTTTAGTCAGTTTCTTTATTGTAAATGTATAAGAATATATGGTCAGAGGATACTCTAAGTAGCAGGGATTTATGTTTGTATATATTCACTTACTTGGATGGACATACAGACAGATTTAAAGATAACATATATATATATATATATATATATATATATATATATATATATATATATATATATATATATATTATATATATATATATATAATTAATACATCCATATTTAATATGTATATATATTTTTACATATATATTTAATATAAATCATTTCATATATGTATCTTTAATACATGTATACATACTACATATATATACATATATACATGTGTATATATATATATAATATATATATATATATATATATATATATATATATATATATATATATGTATGTATTCATATGTATATATGTATATATGTATATACATATGTATATATAGTGATAATGATGATGATGGCTAATGAAAATAATCATAATAATGGCATTGATAATAACAATGATCAAAATGGTTACATCTGTTAATGATGATGATAAGTGATAAATGTTATAGAGATGATAATGATAAAACCAAAACAATAATGATGATGAAAATAATGGCAATAATAATCATAATAATACTGAAGGTCACAGTAATTAGTGATGAAATCATTGATGATAATAACAATAGAAAATTAAATGATAATGATAAAACTTTTAATTATAATGGGAAAAATGATTTTTAAAAATATATGATAATGATAATAATGATAATTTTTTAATAATGATAATGATAAAAATTTAATGATAATGATGAAAATTTTAATGATAATAATAATGAAGGTGATTATGATGAGAGTAATGATCATGTTAGTGAATATTAAGATGAACATCATAAATAGTAGTAATGATGAAAATTAAAATAATGGCAGCAGTAGTAGCAATAATGAAAATGATAAGTTAATATGCTTGTAATTACAATAGTTTTAATGGTAAGTCATTGTGAAGATGATTATGATTGTAATGACAATAATGGTAAAGATATAAGTCAAATTATCCCCAAAACTATAAATTTATTTACCATTTTCATAGTCATTTGTTATGTTATCTTTTCGTTGATTGATATTTTTCAATCTGTTTCATTTCATCCAAATTCTGCTACTAACACAAACAAAATGAGAGAGCGCATTACACACACACACACACACACACACACACACACACACACACACACACACACACACACACACACACACACACACACACACACACAACACACACACACACACACACACACACACACACACACACACACACACACACACACACACACATACACACACACACATACAGACACACACACAGACACACACCAACACACACCACACACACACATACAACACACACACACACATACAGACACACACACACACATACAGACACACACACACACTTACAGACACACACAACACAACAGACACACACACACAACAGACACACACACACACACATACAGACACACACGCACGCACACGCACACACACACACACACAGACACGCACAACACACAAAGACAAACAAACATGCACATGCATGCACACATGTACACACACAAACACGCACACACATACACACACAAGCACGCACGTACATACACAAGCACGCACAGCACACACACACACACACACAGCACACACACACACACAACACAGCACACACACACACACACACACACACACACACACGCACACACACGCGCACACGCACAAGCGCACACACACCACACAAGCGCACACACACACCACACACACACACACACACACAGCACACACACACCACACACAAGCGCACACACACACACACACACAAAACACACACACACACACACACACACACAAGCGCACACACAAACACAAGCAGCACACACACACACACACACACACACACACACAGCACACACACACACAAGCACACACACACACACACACACACACACACACACACACACACACACACACACACACACACACACACACACACACACACACACACACACACACAGTTTTTCAAACATATGATGCTCAATCAGTAATCAGATTGTAGATATTTATTGTAAGCCACAACATATACATTTCTCTGTTACCTCTGCTTCAAAGATTCTTCCAAGTATGTCATCATATTATTCCTGTCACCATCACAAGCCGCTGTTAGTTTTGTCCACTGGATTTTCAATGATTCACTCATATTTAGTTGGTTTTTAGATGGGTTCGGTTAGTTTTGAGACAAATTTCATTATAGAGTCATATTAATTAAGTTTGAGATAGCTGGATTGTTTGAGACTCTTCTTTGAATGGGTTGGTCTATTTCTCAAACACTTAAATATAATTATCTCCTGAAGAAACTATTTTAAAAATTACAAGATTTTCTGAAGAAAATTAATGAAATTAATGTATGTTGTTACTACATTTACATACCAGTTTTTGTCAGTCTATTTGCTAATGAGCATAAATGTATTTAAGTAGCAAGGGGTATAACCACAGTTGTGGACATGTGCACACAAGATCTCACAACCACATGACCTGTGCTTAATGAAGCACTAGGTATTGCATTGAACCACACTTCACCAATTTATAGCTGTAGTTTTGTATGAGTCACTACCACATCCCAATACACATTGAGGTACAAGTTCACTGTTAGTTTTCTTACTACCACTTTTTCCCTTTGTTCCCCTCTTTCCTTTCCTGTCAGTACAAAGTGAAGAGCTGCTCAGCTTCAAAGTTACTGCAAGAAAAGAATGTCATTTTTTCCTGCCCACTTTTGTTTTATGTGCTGGACTGAAAAGCATGGGCCCAGCTGCCTTGCCATCGTCATATGTATGTACAGAAAGGTCCTCTATTTTCATAGGTCTGTAAGACCGTCATTTTCATTTTCAGCACTTAACAGAAGATTTAATTGTGTGGTGAATTGCATGATGTATGTATATCCAAACAGATCTGTAGATCTGATAATCAGGATGCATAAATATTTATTAAACATGTAAATAAATAGATGAAAAATATGCAAACATTTTGATGGATTAACGTTTTTATCTACAGATAATCTAAATATTATACAATTCCTTATTAATAAATCTCTGAAAACCTAAAGAAAATAATAAAATAAGACCACAAGATTTTAGGAGCATGTATTTTTGTATCAACCATTTTGAACTAATTCCAGGCTTATGCTTGCAGGTCACTCCTCCCGAGACTTATCGCCCCCATCCGAAGTTGAGATGCTGACCCTCAGTCCACGGGTTCGCATTCCTTCCTCAAGAGTCACTTGAATACCCAGGATCCTTCTAAGAATGGGGAAAGCACTTAGCTGTGGCCAAGAGGGTCACAGTTATTTTATTGGTGTTATGCAGTTTTTATAAGAAAAAAAAAAAAAAAAAAAAACTGCGCCAGCTCTCCCTGGATCTGTTTGTATCCTGAGAAAAAAAAAAGTAAAATGGGCAATTCTTAGGGTCTCATATCTCAAGTTTATGTGAAATATTCACCCTATAAATATGAACATGTTAGTGTAGGTGTTGTGCATATGGATCTAGTCAGTTCTTTCAATGGTGCTGTAGAGAAATGCAGGTGTGAGGTTTATAAATACCAGCATCTGTGTCAATACAGTTTTACCAGGAAAAGTACCATTTACTGTGCATTATGTATATTTTCTCCCGTCCAAAAGTGAATTGCACAGGCTCCTGTGTGAGTGCCTGTGGCAGTTTATTTTCTAACAAAAATGATTTGCTGCAGAAAGAACACTACAAATAATACATGTATTTATGGCACAAAGATGACAATCTTTAAAATCAGGGCAAATTATATTGTTTTAGAAATCAAGCAAGTAATTGTAATCATCTTGCACTCATTGTTTCGTGGATACTTTTAGTCCATGGGTATTTGTTCAGAGACAAAAAAATGTGCAAGAAAGATCCTAAGTCTGGAAAAATAATGGAACATATAATTTTCCCATATGATTTTAGTTTCCTTCAACTTTGACATTCTTGCGGCACATTTATGCTGCCCTGTGATATTGCAAATACATTCATTTAAAGGAATTCTGTATTTTGTTTAAAATAAACATCAAAAAATTATATTAGCCTTTTATTCTTTGGTTATGCATATTCCAATTAAAAATCAATACACAGAAATATTCTCAGGAATGTGTTGAATCTTTTTCATAATTAAAATTCATTAAAACCAAATATCTGCATGGGAAATCTGCTGAATTAGTTGAGACTAGTCGAAGTCAGAAGTGCCACACCACGCTCATAGAAGCTGTGGGTGCTCTGGTTGGCTCCCATTGTCAAGTCAACAGTAAACAGTAGGTCTGTACGGGTGGCATTCAGGTAGACAGGCAGGGTAATCTTGTCTGTTTCAGTGCTTTCCAGGTGCACCCATTGAAGGGTGACCATTGCCAGCTCTGTCATGATAGTTGGAGTGAGGTGTAGTTCATTATTCTTGCACAGGGCACCTTGCAGTTTCAAACCTACAAAAGAAGAGAGAGAAATACACAATGTTAATAGTGAAAATGTTTTTGTTAACTTTAATTTCAAGCTACACAAAGAGTGTGCAGAGGTGTGTAAGAATAAAAATAAACTAATTTTCTTCACATCTTTAGCAAAAAACAATGTAAAGTCCCTTACCCTTGATGTTGAATCCACCTGCAGCTGTGACCTGACCCTCAGAATCAGCAATGGACACTTCCAATGTTAGTTCCTCCAGTGACCAGGAGTTGGCCTGAGCTACACACTGCCTTGTAGCTGTGATGTAAGCTTCTGGATTGAAGAGACCACCAAGCCATATGGTCACATTCTGAAAGGAATTGAGATCCATTATTACAAATCAGAAGTATGAATGTGTACTTTTTAGAGACATTGAAGAAAAGTTATCTATAATTGTGTGCACTTTTCTCAGTGCCACAAGAGGATACTGACTTAATATAGAGGAAATACCAACCTTAAGTTCCACTGCACCAAACTGTGCCACTTGTTGGGAGATATCTTGCAGCTGCTTGACTCTCTGTGCAAAGTCAGTGACCCACTGACTCACTGTGGCTCCTCGTGGTACGGTGTACAGTTTCCACTGATCAGGGATGATGCCCTTCACAAGCAGGCTAACCATTGTTCGGTGATAATTGGTCTGTTTCTTCTCACCCTATAGGAAAAGCAGACCATTATTTCATTTAGCATTCATAACCATGTAAATATTATTAGCAATATATTTGCAAATTAACACACACAAAAAAAGAGAAAAAAAAAGTAAATAAAACCTATTGCCAATCTTCAAAAGTGACCACAAAGCAAATAATCTTCAGGTAACTGAAATTCTCCTTTCATGACCTTTCACACAGCATATTTTTAACATACCTTGCAGATAAGGATGACATCATTTAGATCATTCCTCACAATGCGCAGAAGCTTAGCTCCCGAATTAACTTCACGTTCAAAGTAGCGATACAGAGGATCCTTGATGTTGTCCACTGTGCGCCGCAGAGTGATGACCATTTCTGGCAGCAGTGAAAGCCAAGTAACAGCAGACTGGTTCAGCGTGACCATCCAAGATGGACGTCCCTGCAAAAAAAGAATAAATAAAATACAATCAGAAAAAAAAAAAAATAAATAAATAATTGTTTATGAATGCTGTATGATGATCAGAAGCAAACAAACCTTTCAAAATAATCATACCTCTGGAATAATCAATTTCCTTATTTACAAATATACGACAAAAAGCTGAAATTTAAGAAATTAAATTCACAAACTCTTCCACAGCCTCCTCCTACCTCAACTTCCCGCCTCTCAGTGCCAGGAGACTCATCTCCTCCATAGGCCAGTTCATCGTCATCCTCCAGCACCTGCATCTTCAACAGCTTACCCAACATATCAGTACCTGGAGAACAATTTGTCCCTCTAAGTCTTTCCCCGAGTGTGAATTATTTATCAGAATTTATTACGTTAATAAAATCTTTAAATATTATAAAACAAGGAAAGAAAGAAAAGAAAAAAAAGAAGAAAAAAAAAATAAGCCCTACCTTTGTTGGTAAGCAAGACCTTCTCAGCATTGTTGGGCAGTCCGAGCCAGGTTGGTGTCTGGCGGTCGCTGAGAGATTCAACCCAGTGAAGGAACTGGTCTCTCCTGATACCTTCACTCGCATTTGTGATCTGGCCATCCTTGCCTGCAGATAAAAGACGAGGAGGGAGGTGTTAAATGGTTAAAATTTAGTTAAATATGAAAAAGTTTATTGTTGTCACTGTGGAAAATCAGGAGAAATATTGACTATCAGATAGCTTTAAAAGTTGGGAAAATTCAATATATATACAAAACGGCAAGAACAAAGTACTCTGTCAAATCTCATGCCACTCACCATCAACATTGCTGACCAGAGCAAAATCAGGATCAAAGCTCTTGGGTGTGAACAACTTGCATAAGAACGAGGTGAGGAGCCGCTGATCAAACTCATTGTCAATCTTGCCTCCGTAGATGCACTGAGACATTAGCGTTGCCAGGGCATCCCAAGGTACCTTCTCTGGTGGGAGGTTTGTGCGACCCTGCAAGAGAAATTTTGGTTTATTAACTCCTGTGATCCAGATGTGTTATAGTCCCATCATGGAAAAATCTGGGACGAGGGCCTAGTCGCATGAACATGCCATCATCGGACAAAATGACCGCAGGCCGGGTGACACAAACTTGCCGTCATGAGCGAAGGCCAGGGTGACAGAAAAGACTCACCACCAGTGCACAAACCTCTTGGAGTGTAATTTGATTCATTTTTCACTTAGAAGGGGGCTTTAGCATTATTCCCATCGATAAATGAATTTGGAATGTAACATGCCTAAGCCGTGACTGAAAGTGCGCCGGCTTCTGGGAGGATGCCATTTCCATGTTGCGCATCGTATTCCTGGCCACTGTGACTGGCGGCGCAGGTTGTCTTACAGAATATTGAAAATTACGAAAAAATAAGATATGGCAAATAACCAAATGTTCCATATTTTTTTTCTCTTCTTGCATGGAGTTATTTACTACAAAGAGATGATATGGAGTCTGTGTATAGAAAATACGCTATTAGCATCTGGATAAAGCAAATATGGACATTGACAAATGGCAAAAAAAACTAAAAAAAAAAAATTTACACAAAGTAACTTTGGAAAGGGGAGGCACAGAGTCATGTCACCGCTCATGGGTGTTCGCCCATACCCGGCCTATGCGCTGCAAGCCGGGGAGTTTGGCTACTTACATAATCCACTGTCTGTATTTTCAGCACTATGATTTCTGTGATACAACTGGATGCAATGCGTTAAACACATTCTTAACTTTATGATTTCCAACTTCTATATCTGGATTAACTGTTAGTCTTTTTTGTTTTCATGCCAAAGAACAATACCACAAAAAACTTGACTACTTTGTAAATGACACACATAATATACAAATGTATTTGAGTAGCTCACTTATTACACATACGGCAACTTCACTACACTGCAACAAGTTCTCACCATAGCTGTTGCCTCAATCCAAGTATCAAGAGTGTCGCATGCCACCCTCAAATCTGACTCATTGAACTCGTAGTACTTGGCCCAACCCAGTGGTGCATAACGCAGACGCTCCTGAGTAATGGCATGGAACCAAGCCAGGAGGAAGTACAGGCGAGCCCTCTCACTTGGGGCACGCATCATGCGAGATGCTGGGACCTACAGAAACAAAAATATAATTTTTTTTACATATGACAATGGATTACAAATGCCAAAATTAAAAAGAGGACAATTTACAATATACTGTACATTACATCAAACAATCCATAATAAATGCATTTTAAATCATACAGATTTAATAATAAATACGGATAATATAGTTATGAAATAAATGTTTTAAATATATTTACTTGGTTTGTTGGTTCTATTCATACATTGAAAATGAATATAAAAAACAATGCCTAGCAACTTCACAGACATTCACATACCGTGCTGAACGTCCTCATTAGGTTGGCTCGAATACCCGGTGGAGGTTCAAAGACAAACACTCGACCGGCACGCAGAAGGTTCACAGGCAGGCGTGGAGTGATCTCCATGGTGAGGAACAGCCTGAATTGTGGATGAGGATGCAAAGAGTGCAGCTTCTTCTCCAGCTGCACTAACCAACCAGGGGCCAAGTGCACATTCTTCAACATCACCCACCTGTAAAAAGGAGAGCATTTGCAAAATTGTGAAAATTGGTATCAGATGAAATACATATATTCTACCTACAATCATATTCCAATTGCAACTGACATTCTTGGTGTTTATGGAATCCGTATGCTACTCACCTGCCATTCTTCACAGCAGAGTTGATGGCTTTGTCAGCTTGGCTGAAGCCCTCAGCAGAACCGATAGCAATGGCAGTCATGGGCTTGTTCAACTCAGCAGCCAGGTCATCCACTCGTGCTGAAGCATCGAAGCCTTGTACAGCACACATGAGTACTGGGGTATTGGCCTTTACTTCCATTTCAACAATCTTGGTCAGGTCCACCTCTCGTTCTCCTATGGCCAAGAAGCTGTCACCCAGTACCTGTCAAACCAAAAATTGGAAAGGATATATCCCATTTCTCTAGGAGTCTGCCTAACTTGATCAATCCTTTTACAGTACACAATAGATATGCTACAGAAACAACAACCTTTGATAAATTTCTAATATAAACTTGACAAATTCACAATCAAAGAAAGTACCACCACACAAAATCCTCTGTCTTAAACACACCCCCATCCACCTTACACACAAAAGAGAAAATGCTAATGAAGCATAATACTTACACTGCTCACAAAGTTGTTAGCAGCAGCATAGAGTCGATCAGGTCTGAAGGCCTGTACAGCCAACATCTGGTACACAGAAAGACCCACAGGGGAAAGCTGCTTCTCGGTCTCCCAGATGGTTGGTACATTGAGCTCGGGCGCATCAGCCTCCATCCAGGTCGAGAACTCCTTTGTTCCAACAAATTTATCCACGTTGTTGAAGGCTCGGATCCTGTAATAGAATTTATTTTTATATACAAGATTCAATAAATAATCTAAGGAAACTTTTTAAAAGGAAAGGTTCGATAGTCACAATTCTTAGGGGAGTCCTTCACGTGATTGAACCAAGGCATAAGAAATATAATAAAAAATTGGTAGGGAAAAAATGTATACACAAATACATAACAGACAAACCAACAATTACTCACTTATTACTAAGCCTCAACATAGAATCAGTCTGCTCTGGAGTGAGGCCAGCGATGGCAGAGGTGCTGGAGTTGAAGAGACCTTCCTTGCTCTTGAGGAGGTATTGGAACTCTGGGTCGTAAGTGGACTCCGAAGAAACTCCGCGAAGGCGAATGCGCGCAAGGAGCAAAGCAAAGCTGAGTCTATCCGTGTGGAGCATGCCCCTTGACACACGTTGATAGGTAAGCTGAAAATATGTAAATAATATAAAACTTGGATGTTACTAACTTACATATTTGCCAATACAAAGATGATCTAAAAAAAAAACAAATAAAAAGTTATTTCATTGCTTTTACTCTTTCTTAACATGGATAAGAAGATCCAAAAATCCCAATTTAGAGGGAGATGAACTTACAACGCACTTCAAAGTACAAACACACACAAACAAAAAAAAAATCAAAACAACATACCTGGAACAAATCATTCGTAATGATAGACAGTCTGCGGGTATAGTCTGTATGGTCTTTGATGTTGGGGTTGTTGCTGAGGACATCAGTAAAGACGTCCAAGAAGAAGTGCAGAGAATACTGGTAGAGGAAGTGTACTTGGTGGAGGGCATCCAGGGTGAAGTAGATACTCGAACATGCCTGAAAGTATATTGATGTGAGATGGCGTTTTGCTTTTGATAATGAGACTTGAACAAGCCTGAAAATACACTGAAATAATTGTTTTGCTTCTGATAGTGAAGGCATATCTTAAGATTTACTTTCCTTTTATCTGGAGGCTCATGTGAATAAAAAATGGAACACATTTTCCGGAAAAATAAAAAAAAAAAATATCTTACCGAAGAGAGTGGCAAATACTGCTGTGACACCATTTCGATCTCGTGCATAGTCTTGTCAGTTTCCTGGACCTTTAGGGAAATGTCCGCGGCTTCCTTCTTCAGAGTTTCCAGAGTGGTGATGACAGAATCATCATCCAGAATCTGGCCCTTAGAATCATTCAGGACCTGCAACAGGTTCTTCTCCAGCTGTCGCAACCTCAGCTGGAATTCTCCTAAACAGGTGAAAAAAGAATATGAATATCAGACATCATCGGAAAGCGACTACAAGAGCAAACTCATCAAAGGCATAACTAAATTATTTTTAACACAACTAGAATTCTTACCCTGCAGCTTCAGCAAGTTCGATCTCTTGTCATCGATGTCAGGACGCTCAGCCTTCAGCACCTGGTTAAGGCACTGCGACTGGAGAGAGGACCTTGTCACTGTGAAGTTCACGAATGTAACACGAGAACAGATGTCTGGTGGGAATTCTACAGTTGGGTCACGAGTTGACAGGAAGATGGTAAAGGCCGGTGACAAATCAATATCCTGAAATGATAGAATGATAATTATTGTCATGATAAAATCTATGATTATTCCATATTTTTCCAAAGGCATTTTAGTATAACTGATTATGAATTACATAACTATCCTATAACAATATAATAAAAGACATTCAAGTCATTATCCCATTATTTCTGATATCATATTAGACATTAACATACACATTCATTACTACACGTACCTGGTCTCCCAGTGTGATCAGCACACGGCCACCAGTCCTGCGCAGCTCACGGTTGAGGACAGGGTTAAGGATAGGATCGTAGTTCTCGACATCCTGCACCAAGAGCGGGTTACCAAATCGAAGGGCCGACTCCAAGTTCTTCCTGAAGGAGTCATCCAAGAAGCTCGTCTTGGTGATCTTCTTGTCTTTGAATTCATTCATGATGAATTCTGTGGCCTGTCCAGATGGGTCAATGATGAGTGGGTATCTGTTGAATCTGTTCAGCATGATGGCATTTTCTGTGCACAGCTCATCAGCTGGAAGAGCATTTGCCTGCCATCTCAGCCTCTCATCCGGATTGGACAGGTACTCTGTGCGAGCAATGTCTCCTCTGAACTGCACATTGGCCTGCTGCAAGTGATGACACCAGTTTGTGAAGAGGTTCTGACGGAACTGTTGGTCAAAGTAACCACCATAGGCAAGGAAGGCTGAAGACAGCAACACATCACCAATGATGGTGGACATCTGGTACTTGAAGGTGTCTGAAGTGGCAGCCCACCTATCCTTTTCAATGCTGAGGTTCCTGATCAGAGCCATTGACCTGTCTACCTTGGCCTGGACATTCTCCAAGTCGGTCTTGATTGCCTGTGCCTGCGAGATGAGCACAGCATACTCGTCCTTGTAGGCTGCAATCGAACGTTCCAGGCGGTTGATGAGGGTCTTCACATCCTCATGTTTCTTCTTGTTCTCAGAAGCTTGGTCCTGCAGGCTTTGCAACTCATTCCTCAGAGGTTCTACTCTCTTTAACATGTCTGCGAATTCAATCTGTGCAATGGCCCACTTCACCATGGGACCGCAAGCCAGTGAAGCACGGTTAACCTTCTCAAAGTTGTAGTCAGGGTTGCTGATGTACTTATTCCTCATCTTCTCTCTGATGTCATCAGGCATGTCATCGGTGTTGAAGTTGACGACAGTGTTAATGAAGTTGTCCTTCATGATGATGGACTTAATGGTCTTCCAGTCAGAGGTTGCCTCACCCAAGAGCAGACAAATGGACTCCAAGGCCAATTTGACCATGGGTGGTGGGTTAGCCATGGATCTCACTTCTACCAGATGTTGCTTCTTGATGCTCTTCACAGCACTCTGGGCCTCTTGCACAGCAGGCTCTACCTTGGACAAGTCCTTCATTACCTCCTCGCGCTTGATGCTGATGCGCTCAGTCTGGGCCTCCAGCTGTTCCTGAAGTTCCTGGCTGGCAACCTTTTGCTTCTCAGCTTCCTGTTGATCTTTCACCATCTGTTTAAGTTTCAAGTTGGCAGCTTCATTCTTTGCCTGCAGCTCCTGGTTCTTGATTGCTAGAGACTTCTGCATATGCTCAACCTGTTCTACTGTTTCTGCAATCTTGCCTAAACCAACATTGAGATGGAGCTGCTGTTCTTCCAGTTCAGAGCGCTTCTCATTGTACAGTTTGACAAAGTGGTTGATAAAGTCCAGGTAGTGCCTTGGTGTGATGGCCATGACTGTGCTGCCTCGCTTGGCCAAACGAGCATTTGCACGGTGGAGTGTCTGGTGGACGTGCACAAAGGCATTGATGATGGCATCACGATGTGTTGGGGGTACAGGCAGACTCTCATAAGCCACGGGGAAGTAGTCTGGTGGACTCCAATTCATTTTGTCCAGGTCGATACGATTGGTGAACTCTTTGCCCACCTGGAACAACGCACCATTGGACCAATCTCCGAACCAGTTGAGCACACACCTGTTGAACAAGGCAGGAGATGTGGCAGCACGATCCTTCAGACCATCGGCAGATGGGTTCATGGTGAACACGACGTGCAGATTGCGCATGACCTGACCAGTGAACCACTTGTAGAGTTCTTCGCTCGAGTCCAGCATGAGACCTGCCCTCTGGCTGCCCTCCTTGCACTGAGTCATCAGAGTTGTGTACTCATCACCCTCAAACAGGCCAGGAACTTCACCGTTAGCAAGCAGGGTGTTCATTCTCTCCAGGAAGGACGAATCCAATACGTTCGACTCATCTAGGATGAAGCAGATCTTCTCATCCTTACATCCAGACCGCCTCAAAACTGAACGGAGATCTTCATCGAAATCATCCGCTGTGTACTTGTTGTGGACCTTGATCTGGAAGATTGACAGGCCATTCATCCATGCAACAAAGCGTGAGAGGGTAGTCTTGCCGGCTCCAGATGCTCCAATCAGTAGCAAATGACCCTGTGGCTGGCGGAAGATCCTGTCAATACGCAAGACGTGATCCAACACCTCATTGAAAAGTACCAGGGGCACATCCAATTCCTCTTCGTAGAAGACCTGTCATGATGAAAAATATACTTTAGAAAAACATTTCATACAATCATTGAAATAATAATAATAAAAAAAAAAAATCTGTTGTCGATATATCAGAACCCTATAAAGACAACTATAATCAAACAAAGTAATTACCTTCAATCTAGCCTTGACATAGTCTCTGAGTTCTTCCTGATCAACTGGCAGATAGTCCTTGGAGAGCCAGTTGGAATACAAGATGGGGCGGACCAGGGCTACATCCCGGTTGATGTTGGGGAAATGCTGTGGTGGGAAAAATACAGTTGAAATCAGGAGTCTACAAATATTAGTAATATAAGAGTAAGAATCATAAAACACAAACTTCTTGCTCATCAGTTATAAAAATCTACTTTACCTTCAGGGCAATGGCATCAACATTTTCGTTGGTCCACTTGCGCTCTTCATCGTTGACCAAGCGATCGTGGAACAGCCGCAAGGCTTCGTGAGCCCAAAGTCGCACCAAGCCCTCCACATCCAAAGTTTCCAGGGGCCTTTTGGGAAAATCATTCATCATGTAATGCAGCAAAAATATGAATATAATATACTTTAAATTAAGTATAAACAACATTGTATATAATCAACATTCTATAAATATTCATATTCTAAAATCATTCACAGCTATGTGTTAAATTCTGCATGAATTACCTGATAGCTTCACAGATACCCCTAACCCAACGGGTCATTTCTCTTGGGGAGTAGACATAGTGGGGCTGCATGTCCTGTGTGAAGTGCTCTTGAGACTGCAGATAGAACTCCACCATGGCGTTGGTCAGTGGATCAGCATATGATCTGAAATGAACATGATGGTTATATATACAGAAATGCATGAAGAAAAATGAGAAAATCAAATTTCCTTAATCAAATAAGACAGAAATAATTACAGTAATCATTCATTCAATGCCTCACCCTCTGATACAATAACAGAAGCAGAGATGCCAGATATTTCTCATAGTTAGCAGCTGCAATATTTAAAATCTTATATCAATGATCCTTTCACTCACCTGAGTGATGGGATGATCCTCAACATGGCCCTGTTGAAGGTGCCATAGATCTGCTTGAGCGAAGTCTCTCCAGGGTAGTCCACGTACACAATGGGTACATGACGCAGGAATCGGTGAGACAGGGGCTTTCGTCCAGGGTCAGTGGGAGGGTTACAAGCTCCAACAAACTGAATGCGTTCCAGCTTAACCCAGGCTTGATCTGAAGTAAAAAGTGAATGTCATTTTCTATATATTACAGCTTCTTTAATGTCACATCTTTACCACTTACATAATAAGCAATGCTGGTTCAAATTATGGATGACCCACCTGAGATTCTGTAGAAACCACCATGTTCCACCATTTGACGCAAGAAACTGATGACTCGCTGTGTTCCATACTTGTCCATATCAGGCAAGTTGATTTCATCACAGAACACCACCAACCATTTCCCAAGCTGGACTGGGGACAAGATGATGCCATTGGGGGTCTTCCTGTACTCGCAGTAATGGTCGAAGGTCTTGAGAACCAACTCTGGTGTTGTGGCGCTGGAGAAGTTGAGGCCGACCACTTCCAGATCAGGCAGTGCTCTCAGGGCTGAGAAGAGGGTCATGGTCTTACCCGAACCTGGTGGACCGCACAGGACCAGCGGCTTGTGTTCAGCCAGCCAGGTGTACAGCAGAGCCTCATGCCTTACAGTGTCTACCGTAGGCACCACCACATCAGGGGCTGCTACCTTGTGAGTCTCTACCTCCATGCTGGGCACCTTGTTCGACCACAGAAGCCACTCGCCACTGATGGCCACCTCATAGTCAATGATTGGGGTGTTGGCATTGGGTGGCAGAGGGATGGTTGTACAGTTACGGATGAAGTCTCCCATGTCGCAGCGAGCCTTGAGCTTGCCATCTCCAGCAAAGCTCCACAAGAGGGAGTGAATCAGGGCCTTGGGGATATATCTGAAGACAAATTTTTTTTTTTTTTTAACAAAAACCAACAGATCCTTCCAGATATGAAGGATTATGAACAATTCCCTATGCTAAAAAATTATCAAATGCTATATCATACGAGTAATAAAATAATCAAAGTGATCATACAAATTCCACACAAATTACCTCTCCAGCTGATCAGACTGCATGGGGAAATCAGGGTGGGTGTTGTTGTACTGCACCACATTCCGAACTGCCTGGTTAAGCAAGGCAAAGAGAGAAGAGAGGGCACGCATGCGAGTGAAGTCCATGACATGCTCCAGGTGGGTGGTTGCGTACTCCAGACACTTCACAACCAGTCCATCGGTGCTCAGGTGAGGAGCAATGATCGCAGCAACATCTCGCTGCACCTGTAGCAAAGATTTTCAGCACATTTCATGCCCATTCTTTCAAAAGATACATGAGCAAAACTTATCTAACATTAAGTAAAATCTGTATCCTTTTCAATGAACTTCAGGAATGAGTATGCAATTGACAAACCTGTAGTGTTGGTGTGATTTCATCATTCTTCTTCTTGTCTGACTTCCTCATGAAACCAGCATCTTCCTCTGTCTCTTCCACTGGGATGTTGGACAGACGAGAGAGGAAGTTCTCGAAGATCATCTCAACTGACAGCACATCCTCCGAGAACCATACCATACCACAGCGAGAAACAGTAGCAAGGGTTGCATACTTGAGGTCTTGTACCTGCAGAGAAGTATATGCCAATTATAAAAAGCTCTAAAGCAGCACACTGCTTGAACAAAAAATCTAGAAGAGAACACAAACCCAGCAAAACTCTTAAATTACAATTTATCTTTAGAAAATTAACAATACTCCTTATTTCTTTGTGTTCATTTAAAAAAAAAAAGAGTATATGCCAACAATAATAACAAGGTAAAAGACATGCAGATAAAAGACTTCCTCACTAATAAATTCTAGATTTCCTCTGATTCACTCCCATCATCGCTCCTTTTTAAACCAAAGCAATATAACCTACCTCAAACATGATCCTGACATTTGGTGGGATTGACAAACGTTCACCATTGGGCAGTGTCAAGAGTTTGTTGTCATCAAGGACAGAGTTGAGGTTCTCTACCCATTCCGGGTCTACATCACCATCAAAGATGATCCATTGCCTCTTGCTAATCTCGCCTCGCACATTGTCAATGATCTTCCTGCAAAGACAAATTCCTCATATTAATAAAAAGAGTAAATATACATCCTAATGAAAGTCATTCTTTTAAGACAGTTACAAAATACACCATCAGAGCGGAGAACAAAGCAAACACTACCTGAGAATGTGCGTGAACAGACCATCCGTCCATTCACGGGTGTTAGGATCGAGTACACCATACAGTGCTTCCTTGCTCATGGCCTTGGGATCGATGACATGTGCCACGCCCTCAATGCCCTCAAAGCGCTCCAGGGCCTTGAGCAGAACGCGCCAGGCAGTTGACTTGCCGGAGCCACTGGGACCCACCATCATCAGGCCGTGGTTCAGATTGCTGATCTGGTAGAGCTGGAGGAGACACCACACAACACAACAGTCAGTCTTTTGCCCATGCGACTCTGAAATAAAATCCAAGCGAAACTAACTATGAATGTAAAATCTTATAGACATGATTTAAGAGGATTTTAGAGATCATTACTGGATTACAAAACCAGAGATTAATATAACTACATGAAGTGCTGTAAACTAATTCTCAAGTTGCCAATTAGAAGTTACTGTAGCAAGTAAAAAAAAAAATAAATAAATAAATACATATATATATACAGAATCTTATAGTCTACAGAATTTTCATAAAGTATAGAAAAATAACACTCAATCCTATACTGGAAAAATATGCATATCAAGAGTATACATAATATAAAAATCTATATAAATATTCTCCAAAGAAGATACTAGATTCAGGCAGTAACTATTTGGTACATAATCTTCAATTAGTAAAAAAATTCACAGCTTATAGTCACTACTTATAAAAATATATTACTTTTCTATTTTTCTTTTCTTTTTTACAAAGAAACCACAAACTATCCTGCAAAATAACCCATTCCATCATTAATGTTCTATTCTATGGTGAGAGTATTTAAAAGAAAAAAAAAAGTGAACTGTACCAGGCAAGCTACTTCTGAATCTGGAGCCCAAAGTAAAACTTAAAATACATAGATACTGTACTTATAACAATCCGAATATCAAATCGCAAAAACCATAGTTAACTTGGGGTAAAAATAATTTACAAATAATTTACATACTCAAAAATATACCAAAAAATGTACAACCCATTAATTACAAAAGCCACCTTATATTCTCATTCTCAGAGACAGCAAGGTCGTATGGGAAGTGGAAGAAAAAGTACAATTACAAAAACTAGAATGCACGGAGAAAAAGAAAAAGAAAAAGAAAAAGAAGAGAAGAGAGAGAGAGAGAGAGAGAGAGAGAGAGAGAGAGAGAGAGAGAGAGAGAGAGAGAGAGAGAGAGAGAGAGAGAGAGAGAGAGAGAGAGAGAGAGAGAGGAGAGAGAGAGAGAGAGAGAGAGAGAGAGAGAGAGAGGGGAGAGAGAGAGAGAGAGAGAGAGAGAGAGAGAGAGAGAGAGAGAGAGAGGAGAGAGAGAGAGAGAGAGAGAGAGAGAGAGAGAGAGAGAGAGAGAGAGAGAGAGAGAGAGAGAGAGAGAGAGAGAGAGAGAGGAGAGGAGAGAGAGAGAGAGAGAGAGAGAGAGAGAGAGAGAGAGAGAGAGAGGAGGAGCAGAGAGAGAGAGAGAGAGAGAGAGAGAGAGAGAGAGAGAGAGAGAGAGAGAGAGAGAGAGAGAGAGAGAGAGAGAGAGAGAGAGATAAGAGAGAGAGATAGTAGAGAGAGAGAGAGAGAGAGGAGAGAGAGAGATTTAGAGAGAGAGAGAGAGAGAGAGAGAGAGAGAGAGAGAGAGAGAGAGAGAGAGAGAGAGAGAGAGAGAGAGAGAGAGAGAGAGAGAGAGAGAGAGAGAGACAGAGACATACTATAGTAGAGCATATTATATTATGTATGTATGTACACCACAAACATACACATTCAATGAGCTACTTCAAGAAAAAAACAAATTCCCAACTACAAGTGCATATAGAACATTCCTGCGCAAAAGGAGTGGGTGGGTGAAAAGGGAGAATGACGAGTGGCTGTTGCATTTCCGTCTTTCCACAATGAAGGTGCGTGACGAGAATATCTAGGCGATCTGGAGTTAAGTGACAACGGCTTCAAGATGCCTAGATAAACCAAGGATATGGATATGGAAAGAGAAAAAGAGAGAGAGAGAGAGAGCAGAGATCTGAGAGAGATGTAGTAAACCTGACACTGTGGTGATTTTTTTTCTCTTTCATTTTTCTTTTGAAACATTGTACTAATAGTGATCCTTAACTGGGATAACAAGCTTCTCGATATAAAGTTTTTCTTTTGGTTCTTATTATCATTTTCTTTCTTTCCTTTTTTTTATTAATTTGGAAATAAGGCAGCAGAAAACGTCTGTTGGGGATAGTGCTTGGTAGCCGATATTCACAAATGATCTGCGTTAGGATCTTAAATAATAATTTCACATCCAAGATAGCAATAATTTTCACCATCAATATCACTAGTGAAAATGAGGTTGAACATTGCAAAGCAACCCAATTAATTCTAAGGCCGTAACAAAAAATAAATATATAAAATAAATTAAATGAATAAATAAACCAAGTTTTATGGCACAAGCAAATAAAAAGTCGACTTCAAAATGCGACTTAAGAAAGAACAAAAAGTTCATACCAAGCACAAAGGGGTGGTGGGAGGGACAGAGTGAGGTAAGGGGGGGAGGGGAGAGAACGGAGAGCCAAGACTCGGCAAGCGTGGGTGTGAGAATACAGGTGAGAGCACAGGTGAGAGCAGGCAGTACAAGGAGCCCAAGAGACCCCAATGGACAAAGTGTATTGGTCCGCGTTGCCCTTACCTTCTCGCACCAGCCCTCCCCAGGTATACTCCCCTTTGGCAGACATGGGGGTAAACAGTGTTTGTAAATTAACTGCCAAGTATTAATGCGGTTATCAAAACAATAACTCATCTTCAGGAGGGAGATACCAACATATTACAGTGCTCAAACATTATCATATATCTATCTCTTGTATCATATCAACACAACAATTGCAAAAATAACTTGACTGCTGCATATCCACCATGAAAAGTTACATAAAAGTTCAAGTACAGGTCAGGTATATTTTCTTTACTTTCTTTTTCAAGTTAGTTCATCCCAAGAGAAAAAAATAAAATAAAAGTTCCATATTTCATCCAATAGAATCTTTTTGTGAGAATCTGATGACATGAGAGTGGAATGGAGCCTAAGCTTAATGAGCTCGATACATGTAGATGACAGTAATGACGTCAATCACAGCCTATGTATCTACAGAATAGTTTTACAGATGAAATCACTAGAGCTTCATAGGTCTGACAACACAGGTTTTTATTAATGCGAACACTCACTTAATTCATCAGTATTTCTAGACAATCAGACTAACTACTCGGTTACAAAGGGTATAATATCTCTCTTAATTGGATAGGGATTCTTCATGTGTGTTGCAGTGCATATAAGCATGAAAAAATATCAAAAGACGAACAATGTGCTTTTGATATGTTCTCTTCTTACTTTTGGTTACTCTCTTGTAAATGTAAAACTGTAAATTTGTTAGTTCATTCATTTACATTAACTGCAACCACTCTAATGCAGTGCAGGAATGAAGGGTTTTGGCACCAGTTGGGAGTAAATGCTTTTGCTTCACCTCGTATCATTGTGAAACAAGATTTCATAGCAAAACTGAACAACATTGCAATGACACAGCATGTAAGAATTCAGTTTTGGATTCACATGTTGCAAGACTGAACATATGTCTGAGTCACCAATCTGAGGCAATCATGACCAAGCAAATCAACTTCCTTTTTGCAATTGAATTCCTACATTTTACTGGACTGTACTTCAAATGGTAAATTCCTTAATCAAGAAAGGAGAAAAAACAAAGGATGATTTATTGAACATACCTTCTCCATCCATTGGGCTCCTTGCTCTTCTCCTTCGCCACACACGAAGAACTGCTCCCGGCACACCTGAGAAACAGATGTAAAAACAAATAAATTCACATAATAAAGATGACAAATACATTTCACTGACACAATAGAGCATCAATCTGCATCTTCAAAAGGAATCAGGGTACAGAAAGAGGAGAAACCTCACCTTCCTTATCTCCTCCTTCAGGCCAGTCATCTGGGCTCGGGTGTATTCAATGCCAGGGAACACATCAGACAGAAGGGAGAAGAGGAGAGGAATGTCCTCGGCCACCAGCTTGGGAACCATTGTCTCACACACACTCTGGATCAGGATCTGGAAGGGGTAACAGAACTTATGGCAAGACTGTAATACAAGAACAACTGCAAATATCAAATAAACTATTTTAATCAGCAGAACTAGAAGGGAATTAGACAATCGATTTTATAACTGATGTCTCTAAAATAAATATGAAAAACAATCCTCTAGATGCTAATATATCCAAACCTCCTGTTCTGGAAGATTCTCAGCAATGGTTCCTTCGTCAATGTTCTCTTCTTCACGGTTCTTCATTTCCTCCTTCAGCCTCTGGATTCTGTCTCGCTTCACATTACCAGCAGACACAGCAGACAGGGCTCGGAGACAGTTAGTGAGACTGGACAAGCTCAAATCAGTGAAGAAAGGAAAAAAGGAACATAAATACAACAATAACTAGTAAATGTGCGACTATCTAAATTATATGTACACACCCCAACATCTTCAAGAGTATACTTATGAAATTATAATGCAGACTCATGAACACACACACACCTACCAATACTAAAAAAAGGACTCACTTGAAGAAAAATCTTGCTGGCAAGCTTCTCTGCCGACCTGAAGCCCTGGCTGAACAACATAACCTCGGCAATGAGCTGCCGGTCTGGCTTGGTCATGGCAAGGGAACGGAACAGTTTCTTGAGGTTGTCCGGGAGGTTGGATCGCCCAGCATAGCCAGGATTCATGGTGATGAAGATGGCCATGTCTGTTGAGACCTTCACTTGTTTGCCTACCAACTCCACGGTCAACACTGTAGAAATGAAAATCGGGAAAAATCAGATGGAATGTATGACATCTCGATATAGGTGCCAAGATATTTAGATATTCCTAAGTTTAAATCTTCAGAACACAAAAATACCTTTCCTAAAGGCACATCAAATTCAAAGCCTTAATATCTGTGTTGTGTTATTGCCAAATTCTTTTGACCTACCCTGCTGGTTACTCTTAGCTCCAGCCTGTTCTTTGAGTGCTTCCTGAATGGTCTGCACTTGCTGTGATACAGCAGACAACATCCTCTCCTCCAAACGATTGAACTCGTCAAAGCAACCCCAGGCTCCAACCTGAAAACAAATGACCATAAATGAAGTACCTGCTTTAAAAGGTTCTAATAACAGGAGTCTTGCATCTCTTAACTGTCAATACCTATTCATCAATCCATAAAAAGACCAATATCTTACCTGGCAGAGACCAACAAAGATACGGCCCATGGCCTGGAAGTCAAAGGTCTCGTCACAGTTGAACACCAAGACAAAGCGGCCAAGTTGGTTACCCAGAGCCTTTACAGACTCAGTCTTACCAGTACCAGCAGGACCTAAGAATGTATAAAAAATTGATCAACAAACTATATCAGATTAATATCCAGTAACCAATTAAGAGAATAAAGTACAAATGAGCATTTCTCTATCAAGAAAGAACAAGCACAAACAAGCATATCATCCAATTTACCGAAAGGCGATCCTCCAAGCCTGGCCTCCAAAGCTTGAGTCATGGTGAGGTAGCAGCGATCGGTCAGTGGTGTCTGTACCAGCTTGTCCTGGACACCCAGATACTCAAATCCATAGTTGAATTTGGCATTGGCCATGTGGATGCTGAGCTGCTTCAGAGGATCATTCTGCTTAGGGTCAAAGTAGAAGCGCATCTGACACAGCCAGTCAAAGGACTTGGGGTTCGACACCTTGTTCTTGATCAGGTTCCTTGTCACAGTTCTCTTGTGGACAAACTCGTTGATCTGCAAAAGAAAATGAGGATGAGTAATCTTTTTCCTTTGACACTTTCAATGATTTCACATTATGTCACACATTAAAAGTAAAAAAACAAACAAATATTACTCATCCTATACTCACCAGATGTTCCAACTTCTTCCTACGAAGTGGTGGCTGTTCTTGGAGAACAGAGTCAGCAAGCACAGTCAGTGTTGCTTCCACCTGAACCAGCACCTGTTGCAGCGCTGAGGAGTCACCATTGGCAGCAGTGGAGAGAGCAGCTTCAACCTGGGAGAGATTAATCATAAATCAGGGTATCCTTCCCAAACCATATATGTATGCCAATGTATATATGAACAAATACCAAAGCTATGATGTGAAAAATTGTATGGATTTTGATATATTCTACATATTATAATTGTTTAAAAGATTCTGACCTAGTTTAAGAGGGACACATTCTACTGTTCACACAAAGAAACATACATTACAAAATATTGAAAAAAATTCTGCTTCAGCTTACCTCCTCACTCCAGGAGATCTGTGCAGCCAACACAATCAGCTGTGCCTGATACTTATCACACCACTGAAGGTATGACTGGGTATCAATGGGTCCATGTTTGAACTGCTTGATATCTGCAACAGCTGCTGCCAGATTCTGTGCCAGGGTCATGCGCATCTCGTTCTCTACCTGTTTCAGCCATTCATTGATCTTTGGATTCTCAACTGTAGATACAGGCTTGTTGAAGGTAACCTGAAAGAATAAAGGAAAAAATTATTTGCTAGCCAGGCAGAGGATAAACACACTGCTAAAATGCATTTCGCTATTTTCTCCATGGTCACAATCTTTATGCTTGAATAGCTTACCTCTTCACCCTCACGGGATGCAATGCCTGTGACAATGGTTTCATTCTCATCCAAGATGATGGCAGTGACACCAGCAAACATTTTCTTGAAGTGCTTCTGCAAGCGAGGGATGTTCTTGCTGTTACCGATGATCTCAAGCAGATCTTCATCTCCCACAAAGTAGAACCTTTAACAAATAGAAAATATATTGTAAGAATTGTCATTTAGATGAAGCAAATAGAATAAAACACACATAAAAGGGAAAATGGGTAATTAAATAATTATTCATATTTTCTGTCATGCAAAGATCTGAAGCCTTCAGTGGATGTCATTAACTCTTGAATACAAAGCCAATTCAGCAATCATTATGATGACAAGATCAAGTAACAGAAAAGAACCTCTTGGCACAATAATCAGCAATCAAATAATAGAAAAGAGCCTCTTGGCACAATGATCAGCAATTTAATCGTCAAAATCAAAAGTTTAAATGATAACTCACCTGGGGAAGGATGATCTCTCTCGCTCCAAGTATTCTCCAAGGGCCTTCTGAATCTTGCCCAGTAGATCAGCCAAACGTTCCAGGGACCTCTGCACACCCTGGATGTTCAATACATCCATCACCATTGGAGACTTGCTCACTTTCTTCATCAGATTCAAGAATTCAGTGCTGAAAAAGAATTCAAGATAAAATCGTTTGCAAAACACGAAAAATTCTTAATCATAAAGTTGAGAAAATCCTCCATTCCTTACACCATTTTTTTTTTCTCTCTCTCTTTTTTTTTTTTAGATAATGCAATTATCAATAGGCTTACCTGATGCTGCTGAATCTTGATGTCTCCACAGGCAAGAGTGCCTTGATGTCTGATGATCCAGAGAAGATGCCTTCCAGGTACACCCACCTACGCTGGACATCAATCCACACATCGAAGAGCGAGTTGATGCGGTTGAGCTTCTCTTCCCAGGTCAAAGCCTCTTCCTCAAACTCCCTGTAGTAGGGAGACAGTTTCATGGCTGCTACTGAATTGATGTGCTCCTTGACCTTGTTAAACAGGTCATCCCAGCCACGGATGAGCTTGCACTTGTTCTGGTAGTTGATGAGGTCAAGTTCATAGCTCTGCCATGACTCACGCACCTGCTTCAAGAACTCTTCCAGGGCCATTTCTCCCTGTGCAGTGATGATCACATTCTTGATGATGGCCTCATTCTTCATCAGGTCAATGTCCCACACCTGTCCAAGGGTGAGGTCGCTGAGGACCCAGTTCACGTGCAGCTGTTTCATCAGGGTCTTCCAGTGACGTTCCTTCAGAGCATCACTCTTGAGTTCCACAATTGTCATGTTGACCTTGGTGTAGCTCTGCAGTAGCCTCTTCACATACTCGTAACTGGCATACTGGCGTAGGCGAGCTGGGAGGTCCTTCAACTGTGTCAGCAGCTGGTCTAGCTGAGCTCGGAGCTTCCTCGGTTGGACAGACAGCCATGGTTTCTCCTTCATCTCATCAATCTGTTCCCATATCTTTGCCAGTTCTGCCCATACTCCCTTCAGGTCTTGCAGCTCCTCATATGCAACAGTCATTCTGTCCTCTGAGGTGTTCAGTGCACCAGGCTCCTGCAGCTCCAGGGCCTCCTTGGCCTTGGCTACATTATCACGGTCATCCTTCAACCTTGTGAATTTGCTCTCATACATCTGCAAGCGCTGGAGAGCCTCATCAGGACGGATGTGTCCTTCAACAGGCTTTCCGTGCTCCCAGTCTTGTAGGAAGTCATTGGTGCGTGACTCCACTGCCTTGTCCTCGGCAACAATCTTGAGTTGCAGGGATGCAACAATTGCAGGAACCGGTCTGGATACTTGAATCCTTGCGGCGGATGATTTCATTGAAAGCACCCCATTCACCTTCAATGTTGTCCACATGAAGCCACTGGTTAGGGAACTGGAACCTCTGGCGCTCCAGGATGCGCTGGCCCTCCTTGTACATATCTACGTGCTTCTCCCAAGATTTCATCTTGCGTTTCAGTGACTGCACATAGGTAATGAGTGTCACTGCATCAGAGGTGCTGGCAGCATCAATGCTCTGTTGTTCCAGCTCACTGCGGCTCTTGGAAACCTAAAAATAAATATACATAAGATAAATACCTGAAAAGATCAGTTATTCTTCTGTTCCAAAGATACAGCAGGAAAGTTAATGGATGAAACTGTAAAACAAAACAAAAGGTAGAAAAAGAACCTTACCTGTGCATGGAAGTGTGTCATCTCCTGACCCAGCAACTGGCCAAACTTGCTCAAGACATCCTTGTGCCACGAGTCGTACTTCAGTGACACCTTGCTCTGAACCTTGGTGTAGTCCACCACAATAGGGCCAAAACCACGTCGGGTCTCAGAAGTGTCGAAGGTTGTGCGACACTGCTTGATATCTTGGAGGAGTTTCATCCACCTAGTCAATGCAGACATTGCATGTTTGATTAACACCCTGGCTACATTATGCAAGAAAAATTATGAACATAGAAACAAGACTGGCTATTCTCAGAGAAAAAAATCATCATATTCAAATACAAAAAAAAATAAATAAATAAATAAATAAAAATGATAATGAGACGACAAAGACAAAAAACCTACTTGGCCACATCATCTCCCAGCTGTCCGTAGAGATGGTCTGGCTGAAGATCCCACAATGCCTGGTACTGGAGCCACTCCTTCACGTAGTTTGTGACCTCATCCACTACAGCATCCACTGCAGCATAGGCTGCCTTGATGAATGAATGTTCATCTGGGAGTTTGATCAGCAAGTTGCGATACACTTGGGTGGTTGGGCGATCCAGGCCAACCTATAACAGAATCGGTAAGGTGAGTTTCTTCTAAACAATATTTGGAGTTTGACATTTTGCTTTGTAATTGTTCAAGATTATCTTTTTATTTATGTTATTTCTGTGGACTGAGTATTTTCTAATAAGAAATTAAATCTGATAACTCCTCAGAAAAACATTAGAACTCTTCAAAAATACTATAAACGTAATTTCAAACTCTTCAGAAACACCAAAGGAGCTTCAACACACATCAATAAATGAATACTTGCATCAATCATCTTAACCAGCAGTATTCAAAACAACAAATCTAGACTTCCTTAACCTGGTAGCGAGTGCTCTGGATGCGGTTCTGTGACGTGACGATGGCCTGCCAGCTGAAGAACTGCTGCATGATCTGGTAGCGAGCTTCCTCAATGGTGGGATGCATGTACATGGTCTGGTTGGTGATGCGCACCTCTTGCACCACTTGCGTGATCTGGAAGGAGTATCAGAGTCTCTTACTAAACTATTGGGAAGTGGGGGACCTTTTGAAATTCTGCTATCTTTCTGTTGAAATATGAGCTCTAACCACTGAAGAATGGAGAGGTTCTTCCATTCACAAAGTTGAAATATATATTCTTGTCTTTTAGATGGAATGAATCTCTCAAACTGATATCTATTTGAAAGAAATTACCAACCTTGGGATCTCCGCCTGGTTTGTGGATAGGCTTGTCTGGTGTGTCTGTGTCCATTGGAATATCAATATCTTCATCCTTCTGTCCTTGCAAAGCTGCAGTCCAAGCTTGCATGCCAGCCTGCAGGCGACCAGCCAGCTTCTTCTCAACCTGTGGGCGAACAAAACCAAAAAAATCACAATTACCAATACAACATTTTCATGCTAAGATGGACATAAGAAGCTAGATAAAACATCACTTAAAACACATACACATTTAATGCATGAACATATTTATTTGTGTGTGTGTCGTGTGTCGTGTGTCATGTGTCGTGTGTGTGTGTGTGTGTGTGTGTGTGTGTGTGTGTGTAATAAATATAAGAATGTTTCTTTCTCTTTCTTCTTCCTTCTTTAATCATGACACCAGTACATATCCACTTCATCAAAACAAAGACCCTCACCTGCTCATCCAGCCTCTGCACCCAGATGTGAAGGTTGGAGTACTGGTGAAGTGACAGATCATCAACAGCCTTCTGGATCTTGTTAAGAATCTCTGCGAAGGTTGAGTGTGCGTACTGACACACGTCGAGTGACCTGACATCCACATCCAGCTGTTCTTCTAGCACTAACAGGTCATCCACCTGAAATAATGGGTTTGATTTAGACATTCTCAATAGGAATGGTGTTCATACCTCCGAAGAACAGCATTGGTTTATAAAAAATTTGTTGCACCCTAAACTTTCAAATTCTGTTACAACACTTCTAAGTTTTTCTTACCTTTTCCTGGAACGTGAAGACGCACTCTGCCAGGCGCTGAACGTAGGGATCCAGCTTGTATGACTCCCAGACAAGTGACATACCCTATGAAAAAAAGAAGAGATATTTCGGTCAGCATGCTTCAGCAATATATAAAGAGTATTGTGCTATAATTTCAAAATAAGTTTCAGACATCTTACAAAGTTTTATACTTGATTAAAAAAACTAGTTGATAAAAAAAAAAAAAAAATTAGTTCAATTTTTGAATTTCCCAAAATAGTATCTTTACATACCAAAACAATCCCAAAACATGCTCGAAGAATGATTCTTCGTAAGACTCAAAAATCACAACCTTCCTCATAGTTCTTTCAAATCAAACCACTGGTACATTCTCGGCTTACCTCTGATAGAAGTCCTTGAACCTCTTTTCTCATTCCTGCTACAAGGAGCAAGATGTTGGTTTTGTCCTCCATCTGTAAACAATTGTGCAAGATCATTAGCTTATACTTTACATATTAGTTTGTCTATCACGAAGACTTCTTTTTTTTTCATGAGTTGGTGCAAAAAATCAACTTGGAAATCTACATTCTTCAGTTTATCTTTTTTTTCTAAATTTATCTCTATAACTAGGAAACTGCTTTTTTTTCTTTGCTTTTCTATACATAATAATTCAAAACTAAAAGCAGTGAAACATAGATTCTACTTATCAAAATATTCAAGATGAGTAATTATGCTAAGATTTAAAATTCTAGGATCTACCTGCAAAAGATGGTTTGGTTTAGTAACGTTCCTCAAGATAATAATTTACTGCCGTATCAAAACACTTGTTAAAAGACATTTTCTGAGATCGCATCACAATCCCCATGCTGGTTAAGCAATACATTTCCGAGCAAGACATGTCAACACACTATCGGCAAAAAATTTAATAATATTGATAAAAAAAAAAGAGTCATTTGCACCGACTTTATCTGCGAGGCACTGCCTATCCTCGCGTGGTTTAACAATGGTGCACATTTTTTTCTTATGGGCTGAGAGAGAGGAAGAGAGAGAAAGAGCTAACTGACTGTACAACTTTCTCGATAACAAAAACACAGGCCCATTTCGAAAAACCAGCATGCATGACTCTTGACAGTGTTAGTAGTCCTTCCATGCAAAGTCACACTTCCAATGTTTTTTGGGTCAAACAGAACCACCCTTAGATTCTGCAATTAGATCAACATCCTCGTCACTCCATGCGCAGCCACCACATTGTGCTCCAACAAGCTCCATAAAACAGGGGAGTGAAACTGTAGGACAATCATGTGTTATGTTTCCACATTCTTTTTTTTTCTTTCTTTTTTCTTTTTCTCTTTTTCTTTACAATCTTAATCTCCTCCCCTTTATCCATTGTCTGTTATTTGGAAAGACAGAAATCATATAATGTCCAATTTCATGTTCAGAGTTTTAAGTTGCTAGGAAATCTCCATAATAAACTACTAAGGACTAATAATTACTTAATTAAATGCAGCCAAGGGATCATTAAGCTGGGGATGACACAACAGACAGGGAAAGCCTAAGCATGGGACAGACACTGCCATTCCACATTTAATGGGACGAGGCAGAGAATTCTTTCAATTCTACGAAAAACTCAGTATAATGAAAAAATAAATGAATGAATAAACAAATAATAACAATAATAATGTCTAAGATTTATCCATGGAATACTATAGCTTTATATCTTTATTTCTGGATAAGCAAAGTGCTCCTTCTTTATCTCAAGTCGAAGAGAATTAAAAAAAAAAAAAAGAAAAAAAAAAAAAAAAAAAGAGAGAACAATATCAGTGAAGGAAATATTGAGATTATTACCTCCGCCCCCACATGGCCAGTCACAGGAGGATCTTTTTCAATTTTTCATTCATTTTATACTGTTGAACTATACAACCATCTAAACTTTCTGACATGGACCAGAACTTATACCAAGATAGCAAGGGAGGTTCTCAAAGAAAACAAAAGATAATAAAGCAAGAAGTACTTATCAAATCCCTTTTATTCTAATCATAATTTTGAATGACTGCCATGTAAGGGCCAGAAGGGGGAAGGGAGGGGGAAAAAGAAGTTGGGGACAACTCAGTGTGGTTTTGTGATGAACAAATAGAGAGCGAGCGCGGTTATATGGCAAAGAGTTACACTGATGAAGCCACACAGATTCTGACAAGACGAACATACCAACAGGGACGCTTTGACGGCAGGGCTGTGTGGTCCACCCCGCGACAACAGCTGTGGCACCACGGTAATTGTCAATTATAAATCACCGAGAGTAGAGAAATCGGTGTTGTTGAGTAATGGTTGTGGGAGGGTTATTTATTATAGATGTTTTATGCTTCATGAATATTGGCATAATATTTATGGGTACTTGAAGGGGGTATTGAAAAGAAAAAAGGGTAGTTATTTTACTCAGAGACAATATTTGTTTTGCTTGTCTGTTTTTTTGTCTAATCCCCTACATCTAGCAGAAATCTGAAGGTATCTAAACATAGCACATGTCTTCTTTTCAACATTATATTCACATATGAATCCTGAAACTTCAACTGCGTCTGTGTTTACATCTGTTGAACTACTATTAACACTTGTATCTGATTATAACCTGTAGCATCAAAATATCCACCTTAATGAGCCAAAAGCTACCCATTCTTATGAACTATTCTAGGTAAGGGAAGCACAAGTCCTGCCCCGCCTGTGGCGCAAAAAAAAGCCACTTCAAATATTCACACGCAGCAAACTAGCCAGCAGCATTTATCAACAGCACGAGCAAGCTGGGAAAACCTCAAATCACAATAATATATATAAGTCGATAATAATAATAATAAAAAAAAATACCACTCCAATTCACACAAAAGCATTATTGTTAATGGTAACATTTGAAGTGGTTTTTCTCTACACTTATAAAGTCGGTCGGATGTCAGCACTTCCATTTTCTTTGACCTATTTCCAGGACCTCTGTCAATGATTTCAACCCAAAGTGGGCAAAGGAAAACAGCTGATGCCAATATCATAACACACACAAAATACATAAAAACAACACCAGGCTTATTAGCTTTTACCTTCTCCAGGGTTCTTTCATAGGTGCGGACGCTCTCAATGAGAGAGATGGCGAATGGGTACAGCTGATTTGCTTGGTGGGCTTTGTTGACAATGGCCAGTGGTACCCTGAACCCTAAGTTCTTCAGATTCCTCACCTATAAATATCACAAGGGTTAATCCTCTAGGAAACACTTTCACTTCAGTTTACAATAAAATAAAATGCAATAGCCCTTACTTGTTTTCCAAAATTAGTTGCAATGTATCATATCAAGTGTTTTTTAATCATGGTCTTTTGAGGATTGAAAAAAAAAAGAAGAGGAGTTCAGACAAAAATCTTTAATCAAAATTTCCATAACCTACAGACTGTAAAAACTAAGTTGCTAAACTAGTTCATAAGACTTTAATCTTCTATATAAATGAACTGATAAAGCAATAGAGGTAGACATGTCAAAGGTAAATAAGAGGACTAAAAAGAGAGAATGAAGTATAAATGAAACTTACCTCCTTTGAGAGAGTAATAATCTCAGGTAGGAAGTTGACCTTCAGCTTGTACTCATTACCTTTTCCTGTTCTGGATCGATGCATTTCAATTGCAAAGATACGCCCTGATACACCTAAGTTGCGCTGCTGAACCTGGAAAGAGAAAGAGGATGTAATTTTCAAGATTCCAGAGGTTTCAGCTTCTAGTAAAGTTTTTTGTCTAAAAGCTTACCATATATGTTGACAATTATCCACACAAGAGTTTCACCAAAAAGCAGCACACCCATACATGCAAAAACAGCTGTTCTCCTTACCTTCCTGGCCCAATCATCGAATATCTCCTGGGTGTTGAGCTTGAGTCGGAAGGAGTCTCCATCCCCCTTTAGCTTCTGCCCTTCAACATGGCTCTCCCAGCCTTTGCCCAGGACATCTTCTACCCTCCTCATATATGCAGTGAGCTGGCGGTCGATCTGCTTTGCCCAAATGATGGAGCCAGAGACAGGTGGCAGGTCACGGACATGGCTCATCCTACAACACTTACTTTGCGGATACTGGACCTACAAGAGAAAGAAACAAGGAGATTAAAACTATTATAGAAAAAAGAACAAGAAATACCAGACTAAAGCTTTGTTACATACAGAGAGCTCTTCTTGACTAGTTTCTTACCTTGAACTTTTCATGAAGGCTCTCGATGTCATCCTTCACCCTTTGTATCAACTGCGTCTGATACTCCCTGATAGCTCCTCGGATATGAGGACGAACAAATAGAGCATTGAAACGCGAGAAGATGCGGAACATTTCATTGGCATTCTTTGCAGTTCCTAGCTGGTCTCTCAGCCTGGCTGTAATGCGAGTCTGGAAAACAGAGGGGCAGCAGTTAATTCCACAGACCATTCCAGGAAATTCAAGCAGAAGATAGATGTATGTATACAAATTTTTGCAATACCAAAAGAGCCTCAACTTACCTCTACTCGATCAATACGCTCATCATAGCGCTTCAGAGCTGCCTCCCACATTTCTGTACCTTCCTTGCTGATGTCCAGCCCATCAACCTCCTTTACATTCTCATAGGCTAGATTCACCTGAAACATCAGAAATCCTCCTGTAATAAACCCATACCTTACACAAACACATTATAACCATCAGTTACCTCCCTTATGATGAAATCAAACAAGCATCCAACCACACCTCCTCGATGGCATTCAAATCTGCTGCATCCATTTCTGGCTTGAGCTCTGCAGTATCTCCATCAGCCAGAGTGGTTGTCTTCACCACAGAGGGACGCAGAACTCTCACAATGACTGTTCTCAGCTGTTCGTGCTGACGGCGGAACTTGCGCATCTGTTCCATGCGCAGCTGGAGTTTCTTGTGGGCTGGGGACACACGCCACACCATCTTCAACTGTTCATCCCTCTTCTTCTTCACAATGTCTCTGTTAATTTCAAAGCAGGCGATAAATACATATTCCTTTTACAATCTACATCATAAATTTAGAAACAGATATCTATGCATACATTATAAATATTCTGTACTTCCAAATGCATAAAATTACCTTAGGAGACCCTGCAGTTTCTCATATTCATCATCCCATGTGATGAACACATCAAAGCACTGGCTCATAACTTTCTCAAACTCATCGAAGGCAATGTGCATTAGACGACGAGTTCCAAGTACCTGTGCATTAAACACAAGGTTTGATTATGAGGAATGTCAATTACATCAATAAGGACATTTCAATTTAAGTTATAAAATTTTGCATTTTCAATCAAAGTCCAAACAATTAGTCATAACTTCATAACCACAAACTGGAATCCCAAGACAAATTTTACATTCCAAACCTCACCTTCAAGATCTGAGAAGACAGATCTCTGGATATAGCCTCAACAAGTCGAAGAGCCCTCTGGATTGGATATTTGGTGGACCTTATCTTGCGCAGGTGGTTAAAGATTGCCTGGACTGCAGATCGGATTTTCTCGAGCTCGGTGGCAGCCAGAAGGTCATTGAGAGGGAAGTCCTTCATGAGAGGAGCATAGTCATTCACTGTGGCCAGGGCCTGCTTCAGACCTGTGAAATGATGAAGGGTATTTTTACAAAACAACTATGTACCTGTTAGCCTGACTATTTCAATATACTTAATACTTATCTACAATATGTCACATTCTCACATCATGTCCCTCCTCCTGCCCACCTGTGTCAGTGTCAAAAGAGACAGTAGCATGGAATCGCTTCCCGTGCTTCAGGACATCCAGAGTCAAAGCAACTTCCAGACTTTCCCGTTTGTCCTGAATTTTGAGGAGGGCACGCTCCAAGTTCAGCCAGAAGCTTATCTCCTGTAGGGCTGTGCCACTGGATGGGTCTCGATCGAGCTTGGTTACCTGAGAGCAAAAACATTCATATCATATAAAATACTTTTGAATTCTATTTGAAATCAAATTCCGACTGTGGTTCACTTCCTCCACACACTCAAAGTATAAACATAAAAGTATTAACTCACTTTTTGAATTTCTCTGATCCACCTTGCAACACCATTCTGCAACTGATTGAGGAAGTTTGAGTCCTCAACCCTGTCCCCAAAGTCCGCTACTTTTGGGCGCGTCCCTTCATCAGCACACTTCTTTATCACCTAGAGAAAAAGAGGGAAAAAATAATATACATAAATATGCATATATGTATATGTACGTGTATGTAAGCGTACTATATATATATATATATATATATATATATATATATATAATATATATATATATATATATATATATATATATATATATATATATAATTATATATATGTAAATATATATATTACATGGAGCTATACATATGCCTCTCTTTCAAAATAATGTGCCTGTGAGTAAGAAATGGAAAAATCATGGGCTATGTACACAACTTTCCAGAACTTCAGCTAAGGGTTTGAAAAAGAAAAATAAAGAATAAAATCATGTTTTGTTTAATATCTCTGGACATACCAGAAAGGTTGATTTGTAGAGATCTTGATTTATACTTCATTAGCAAATACTGGAAATTCATTTACTTAAAAGTAATTAAATTAGTAATACTTAACCAGAGTTTTGCGTCTCTTGAAAATATGCATGTCTATCAATACCAATTTGTGTCCAAAAATGTATAAATACAAAAAAACTATACAGACAGAGATGCCTATATACAGACAGACAGATAAATAGATAAATAAAGAGACAAGTAGACAAATAAATAAAGAAAGCAAAGAATAAACAAATAAATAAACTCATTTACAAACTAACCTGAGCAACAGTAGGATGTATAGGCAATGAAATGTCTGGTATATCGATGTTTTGTTGAAGATGCAGCAGACCCATTTCAAGCTCTGCAATTTTCTTCTCTACTGAGGGAGCCATTTTATCTCCATCCCTATTGATAACACGTAAAAAACAAAAAAAGTCATAAATAATGTATACAAAAAATAAAACTTAATATATTCACTTCCTTCACACAGATTCACTACTTATTTAGAACACTTCAGCAATTTCAGCTCTTACCTCTCAATTTTTCCCGATTCTTTGACGTAAGATTTAAAATAAGGTGCGACAGCATTTGCAATGTACGAATGAAGAGTCTCGTAGGGGGACCCATCACTGAGATTCAGTGTTCTCAGTTGTGAGGAGATGGTCTTGTCAGCTTCTACGACACCACCTCGTTTGATGCATAGAATACTGCAAAGTAAGGTTTGGGATAGATCACAGGACAATAACCAATTTTCACATCAGCACAAAAATGCAGATAGAAACAAATGCTCTTTAGTCAAAGTTTGGTTTTTAATCCTATTCACCGAAAAAGCTCAATTTATTGTAATCAATTACTTGCACACTTTCAACATAATCCAACAAATTAATATAAATGCATTAACAATAGTCTAAACAATATGGGGTGAATTAACCTCTGATCTGGTTGCGTCATGGCAATCACATGGCCAAAAATAAGGGCATTAGGCTTATATGAGTAAAAGCACTGTCAAAGCCGAAAAGGACAAACCTGTTCATTTTGATGGAAGTGAACTGTACCCCAATGCTGATGAGATAAACCACTTCTTTTTCCTCCTCTACTTCTCCACCTTCCTCGGTCTCTTCTGTATTGCAAAAAGGGAGAGATAAGATACATTAGCAAGATAAAAGACAAAGATTAGCAACAGTTAACAGAAAACACAAATATCATATTCACAAATAGTATTTGGAGCAATAATAAACATACAATGAATAGGAGAATATACCTTTGGTTGCACATCTCTGAATAAGAACAGATTTTGTCTGAGGATCTGTGACAAATTTACGGATCATCTCAATGTTATGTGGATTCTTGAAAGCCGACTGCAGTTCTGTTGATGGCTCATCGTCATCTTCCAGCATGACAGAGGTGATACGCAAAATGTACCTGGTGACCTGCGGCACCTCGGCGACGGCAACAACCGTCTCCAGGCCGCCCCCTCCTGCATCTTGTTCAAGAGGTAAATAATTAATATTCATTGGAAATACATGATAAAATAATGTAAGTTCACTAATAATTCTTCATACTTATATTTCTGATATCAGTTAATATTCACAGTATGGACACACTAAGCTTGAGCAAACTGATGATAATATTCTTGCAGAGGACAAAAAGTTCCAATTACTCGTATAAGAAATAATCTACAGACACAAACAGTAATGCCAAATATAAAAGAAAAAGATCTCGGAGAGCATCACTCACAGCCCAAGTCCACTTGGCGCTCATGAGTTTCAGCTGTATCTTTATCACAGTGAATCAGTTTATTTAATTAACTGGTTAAGGTATATGGAGGGACTGCACCGACTAGGAGAAAATTGAAGATCATAGCATTGTAGGCAATGAAAAATTACAATTATTGCTATTAAACTTGATTTACAGAAGTGAGCCCATTAGTTAAATTATAAAAATTTGAAAGTTCTGTTGTCACAATTCTTATTGTCTGTTCAAAAGGTGAAGTTTGTTTACTGTGCTACTTGTGTTTCTAATTCTTTTTACAACCTTGTGGTGAAATTCATCTCTCACTAAAATCATTACAGTATCGGGGATAACACTAAACTCGATGAAATACAACGGCAACTGGGAGGGGGTCCTGGGGCAGAACCCCCTCCCAACTGCAGTTCACTCGCTCATTTGTTTGGATAACACCGTGTCGAATCATCCGTGGACAAACTTTGTCTCGGGTTTTTACATTTTCCACTTTCTTTATCATATGAAATAATATTCTTGACTTGGATTTTCAATTTCCCACATTCTTTTGCTTTTTAAAATGCATGGTAATAATGAAATTGCCCTTCTAAACCCCCGATTCCCTACGGGATCCCCAAACATTGTTGGTGGGAGTCGGGGACTTCATCTCTGACGGGTGCGGTTCTGTTGTAAGAATTTACCAATCAATTTTGTGATGTGGAGTTGGGGACTTAGTCTCTTGTGAGTGTGTCCATGCTATAAAGAATTACCCTGATATTTATTCCAGAAACAAATAAATATGATCTAAATTCTACCTCATTCCAAAGTTAATGTTTACACCTTCCATTTTAAAACAAATATCCAAAAGTTTAGAATTTAAAATATCAAAATCACAAACTGGAAAAAATGTATATCTTTTACAAAGAGGCATACCTCCCTTTAAACCAAAAGAGGGCAATTAAAAAAAAAAAAAAAAAAAAAAAGCCTCCAAAAGGAGTGTTAGAAGCACTTCAAAGCGTTAATGCAGACATGACTGATGAAAGCAAGAATGTTAGGTCTTACTGCATAGCAACCCCACAAAATTGCAAGTTCTAGCTAGGCCTTATAGCACAGATCATATCGTTCTTGTAGTCTACAACTGAGAGTGGTTCCTAATACAGGTAGAGTTTATCCTCAGTGCTTACAAGACCGTGAAAGCTGGCTGTCACTTTCATGTAATGTCACGAAATGCTAGGCAGGATTACATCTCCCCTGGCAAAATACTTGCTTGAAGCACGTGGCAGACATATCCCTTTGTAATGTTTGAATAACTGATAATGCAAAAAGGAAACTGGAGATTCATTCTAGGAATTTACAAAGAACTAATCTAAATATTTTTTCAGCTGCTAAATCACACTATTTTTTTTCCCACCTTTAAAAGCAAAAAGCTGTAAGTCAACAGAGCCCAAAAAAATATTGCTATCACAGCATTAGCTTTCCTGACTTCCGTACAGTAAACATTTTGCACTATTCAATGCCACATATCACTGTACCATATTTTCAGTCTGAAGATCATTTTCTGTACAGCTGCCAGAGTATCATTGTAATACTGATATCTGTAAGAGTCTAATTCACACACATTAGGACAGATATAAACTTTTTGAGAAAGTAGTAATACTGACTTTGGTTTGTTTATTCTAACACAAGCATGTTATGTAATAGGTGACTCATGTTACCAGGAGATAGTTTGCAATGTTCTCCCAAAAATTGATTATGAAAAATACAAAAATTTTGCACATACCACACAATTTATAGTACTGGCCGATCTTTCAAATGTATGCCAAATATCATGAATGTACAGTGCAAAGTTTTCAACCCAGCTTTAGATTAATTCTTAATAATTAACAGCCCTCACGACATTTAATCAAATAAGAAACGTTTTTTATTAATCTTTATGGTTTGAATGCACAAAGCTTGGGCAAATTGATGATAAAAGTTGTAGTCGTTTGGCAAAAAATCTACAGAATGGTAATGCCACAAATAGAGGAAAAAGATTGCAAAAAAGTGCCGCTCACAACCCAAGTCCACTCGGTGCTGTGCATACCGAGTTGAGGACAGTTTTTGTAAGTGGATGTTGGTGAGCAGAGTCACCCCACACACATTCATGGCAATTTAGGTTGCTGAATAAAGTTTGTGATGTGGAGTTAGAGTCTTCGTCCCTGGTGTGTGCGTCCATACTGTAAAGAATTACCTACTCTTCCCAGCTCTATTTACAAGGACACACCGAGAATGTTATGTCGGTCTTTCCAGAGTGGTCCAGGGAAGGAGGCCGCAGTGATTACATATAAAACATGAGTTTAAGACTGGTTAGGAGGAGAGGGGAAAAGAAAGGGGAGATGGAGGAGGGAAAGGGGAGCTTGAGGAGAGAGAGAGAGGGGACGGAAGGGGATATAGGAGCAAAGGAGGTGTTTAGACTAGTTTCTTGGTTAATGGCGGACTGCCAGGGAGGCTGATCAGATCTTTTGGGCAAGAACATATGTGGTGGAAGTCTATTAGCCTTTTATAGTGTTGACAGGCATGGACGTCACACCAATGGGTACAAATTCAATGGCTAAAGGTGTCTTTTAATCATTTACCATCATAAATGTCTGTTTTTTGTTTTAGTTTTAGTTTTTTTTTTCTCTATATACAAATGCAATTAAGTGAATACAAAAGAACAGTTCATATTCCACTAATAAGATTTCCCTCCTGGGATTTAAACATTTATGATAAAGCATAAAGACGAGAAAGGGCGGGAAGGAACAAGAGACAAGGGAAATGAAAGGAGAAAGGGAGGAAGAGAAAGAAAAGAAAAAAAAAGATGGCAGATGTTATGTATCTACGTCATTACTAAGAATAAAACCAAAACAATATATAAATCAGGATATATCACACTTTCCTGAAACTGAGAGCTAAACTACGTCTTTCCCGGAGCCATAAAACCAGGAAGGAAGACAGCAGGTCACGAAAACAGGAAATTGGGGGGTCACGCCCAGGTAATTCAGTCCAGGTGACATAAACAAGAAGATTACAACGCTCATAACTTCCCTACAAAGAGAGAAATACCCTCTTCCGCTGCACAAATACAAGCCCCAGTAGCACCTTACGCGAGCGGGCATAGCAAGCCGTACCTTCCTCACCAGGATCCATGGTTCACCGCGAGAAAAACCGCTGCAGAATGCGCTGCGGTGTCGGTCTCCTTCCTCCCCCGACGGAATCCGGTGACTCACTGTCATTCACC